ATTTGGCTTTTTGATATATATATTTTTTTAACTTTCTGTCCTCGTACAATGTGAATTTAAGCACTGCTTAAAAGTGAACTTTGTAATAACAGAAGTTCCCCTCCTTTGCAATGCAGGGAAGACAAGAGGCGCCCTCTGGAGAACAGATAACTATAGAGTATAAGACGATACAAATTACACACCACTAATTCACCAAGCCTTTATCATTTTCCTTTATGCAATTAAGAACTGGATGGCACAAGTTGTCAGTTCACTGTGATCCACCACCTCACAAAGCCTGTGAGAAGAAACACGCTGGTAATGATGCAGAAGGACAGCCGGTCGACTGGCCGGGTAATGCAGTGCATTTCAATCAAAATGTTCATGAGCGTGATGGACTCTTAACGCTTTATGAGTCAACACCACCGATGAACCGAACGGTTTCGCTCAGGTCGGCAGGACGGGAAGCAGCGTAGGGTTGAGACACCAGACGACCTCACCAACAACAGGCAGGGACCAGAGTACATTCAAACATGCAGTGCAGCAGGACCGGAAACGTCAACAGCAGGGTTTCAATCAGAAATACTTCACGCCGGCTGGTCAGCTGGAACCGAAGGCTAAAAAAACACCGATCTGTCGCTCACTATCCATCGATCAGTGTCAGCCAGCTCGGGTGACATTAAGGAAAGTCTACGGGTGCTAAAAGAATTGGGCCTCGGGTGCAGAGAGATAGATTAGAGAATATTAAATAATATTCAACGTCAACATAACCAAATAACAAACAATTCCAATGTTAATAAATATTGCTGCTGGCATTTAAGGTGATCAGTTAGCAACGGATTGTTTCCCACTTATAAAAGCCCTCAGTTTGATCATTTCACAGGACTTTTATCAGGGAGGGATTACTTGCTTTACCCAGAAATCATAGGCTCTTACGAACACATATTGGATATTAACAAATAAATATTGGCCATCTGAGGCGTCAATGAATACATTTTACAGCATTGTGCACTTTAACGGATGCAACTATTCGCTCATTACTTTGCAGTGATTAATGAAAATGGATGAACACATCAGACTTTGTGCACCTTCCCAGTGTTTCTTTGTCTGCATCTTTCTCTCTACCGAGTATCTGCAAAGCCCTGCTGTGACCATCTCAAGCTCTGTCGCTTCTCTTCACTCAATCAAAGTTTTCCCCATTTCTATGACATCGACGTTCCATTAAACAAAACAAAATGAGAAAGCTAAGCGTCCAATGGGCGGATTAGTTGGTGGGTCGGCTGACCGGGAAGAGAAACAACGACATACCTGGGCAATGTTCAGAGTCTAGAGAGCGCGTGGCAGAGAGACAGACAAACACAACAACAGGACAAAAGAGAGAGAAACAAAGGAGGAAGGAGAAGGAAACAGAGGGGGGGAGGAGAGAGAGAGAGGTGACTACGGGGCGAGGTGCTTCATTGTCCGTTCAGCACAGTTAGCATCAACTCGGCCGATTCCAAACAGATCAACTAGCTTGCGGGTTATTTGTTTGTATTGAAAATGAGATGGTGGATTATTGCTTCCTGAGCGCTGGTCAGACTGGGAGCTGGGCTGAGTTGGAACTGCACGAACCCAACAGGGAAAACAAACACCAGTGCATTATGTGTCAGGCTCACTTCATCGGCTTGCTTTACATGTTGTCTATTACAGCCGTGTTACCAGGGCAACCAGGGAGGAGAGCGTGTTAAAAAGAAACTGAACCGGGTCGGGACGACACACAAGAAAACTAAAAATGAGGAATATGAAGATTTATAAACCGGGTGAGAACAAACAAACGGAAAGAGCATGAATACGATGAGGTCGAAGAACGAGTGAAGGGGGAAAAGAACAAAAAGACGAGAAGTGGAAAACAGAAAAGTGAGGGTAGCTTAAGAGGCGGTAAGGGGAGCAGTGAGGGGGGATCGGGGGTCTGCTACAGGAGCAAAGGAGCAGAAGGGGCTGCCGTACCTGCTTGTTGAGTCCTAACATGTTGCACACCATTTCTCTCGAATATGGCTGTTCTAATACGTAACGCAGCAAGCCCGTCTGCGGCTCAAACAGGTCCTACAAGGAAGATTACAAAAAACAAACATACAATCTAATACTGCTTTTGAGAACGTGTGTAAGTGGATGCGCAGCACAGATGTTACCCCGATACCTTGTCGAACGGCAGCATGCCTCTCAGAGGGAAGTGGAGATTAGTGGGGTCTAATTTCCAGGAGTTACAGATGGCCCCGCTGTTATTCACCACTGGTAACAAGCTGCACCGACCTGCGGACACGTTCACACATGGACCGGCTAAACATGTAGCATGTGAGGTGTACTATAAACATGTGACTCTACGGCATGCAAAAAGGCTGAGTTGGTCACAGACATTCAGTTCTCTTTCACCACATTTTGGCTTGAAAAAAGGAATCGCCTCAGTAAAGGTTTTTACGAAGAACAAGAACTCTGGAGAACAATAAAAATTGCAGCGGTGTGTTGATGAGTCGCTCACCACAGATGGAGTTGATTCTGGCTGTGGGTCTGAAACTGTCCACAAAGTCTGATATCAAACTGCCTAGAAGCTACACAACAGAGAAGGAGAGGGGGGAAAAGACAAATTAGTAACCATGACATGACAAAAGCAAGTGTGCGCGCACACACACACACACACAGACACTAGAAACGTGACCTCACCCAGTGTGATAGCTGTCCTTCTGGATACATTTTTCTGATTTCTGCGATGGCAAAGTAGGCTGGCAGGAGGCAGGCATTTCTGTCTAGGATGTACTCCACCACCTGCAATGTACACAGGGTGAGAAGTGTTGGCATGCTACACAAATCACAAACAATCGTTCTCGATAAGAGAAAGAAAAATACCTCTCGGGCGGCCAGAAGCTGCTGAACTATAGCCGAGCTGACGGTGGTCGGAATGGATTGAATTTTCTCGAGCACGGCTTTCAACAGGTCTCGAACACCCTGGAAAACACACACTTGAGGTGAAAATGTATCGGGGGGGCGGGGAGGTGGGTGGAAGATGCCAACATCAACAGTCAGGGATAAGAACCACAACCCTCTGGAAAAGTTTAAATAATGCAACTTTAAGGATAGACGTCTTATCATTGTAATACCTCAGCTGTGTGTGTTTATGTGTGTGTGTGTGCGTGCGTGGGTTTGTGCGTGTCAGACCTTGTAGTCCATTCCTCCAATGATCTTGCGAATCAGTTTAAAAGTTAAGGCCCACAACTGCGTCCTCTCCCATTCCAAACTGTCCGAGCTGATCAGAGCCACACACACCATCCTTCAGGTACAGACGACGCGGATTAGAAGGAGAAATGAGAGCACACACAATGCATGTGTGTTCTTCTTAAGTATGTGTGTGTGTGTGTGTGTGTACCTGGGCGGTAACAGACTGGTCTCCACTGCCATTGCCAGACAGTCATGGAGGAAGGAGATCCTCTTGGGACTGTGCTGGCTGTGAATGAACCGCACGATCCACTGCACACACTGTTCATGAGACTCCTGCAGAAAGACATGGGAGGCAGTTGACACATCCAGCCAACCATTGGTCGTCCCGTGTGGAAGCATCTCTGTGTGTGTGTGTGTGTGTGTGCGTGTTGTTGCACACCTGCGGCAGAGTCCCCCAGTAGTGCCTGAAGGCTCCCAGACAGCTGATCAGTTTGGTCCTCTCATCTTCTGGAGTGTCCATAAACATCCTAGAATACAGCGCGATCGACATGTCAGGCTTCCAGCGCTTCATTTCCACGGTGTACATTTGAACCTCCTTCAACACAAACTGAGAAAACCGACTTCAGGTCAACGTTGCACCTTCTACTGTGCAACTAGTCACACTACTGACAACAAAACAGGAGAGGTCAGCGTGTTTGGAGCCGTCTTACCCAGCGAAGGCCTCTTCTATCATCTCAGTTTTCTGATGAAAAGAGAAGGAAATCACAAATTAATGTTTTGTAGATTTTTTGTTTAACAGCGTTCTACTCGCTTCACAATGATCAAAATCACAACAGTTCTCTGCTGTGCTGCCTCAGCAGTCCGTAGCTCAGTGAACACGGAGGTTTGGTGCTTTGTATAAACAACATTGACCCCCATAAAACACAACCAGCATTTGTGCTAAACTGTAAAAACCTCAATTTGTATTGAAAAATTAGCATTACGTCAGCAAAAAAAAACGATTCAATCTTAGCTGCGACATGAGTCTAATTTGAATTGTATATAACATTGGTTGTTGTTTGCGTCGTTCATTTGCACAGCAGGTTTAATAGTGCACATAAATTAGAATAAGGCTAACGTTGTCTGGCATGCTAACTAACGCTAGCTTTAAAAGCCGGGAGTGAAGACACTAATTACCACAACATCCTCGAAGATGCTCTGGAGCTGAGTTTCCATCGATAGAGCCATGTTTGCTTTAAAGAGGGTCGATTTTCAGCGAACCATCGTACAACTGAAACTGCTCTCTCGTCTCAGCAGGCTCAGACAATGCTACCAACAAGCTAAATGCTAACAGCCAGGGAACGCGCCGCCAAACGCGCAACCTCGTAAACAATCCGTAGGCACACCAGACCCGGGAAGCGGAGTTCCGCTACGCGCTCGGCATCGTGCTGCGTAGACGAGCCCTTCATTCATGTGTGTGACTAAAACGTTTGATCATTGTGTCGCAAGATCGACAGGTTTCACGATGATTAGTCACACTTGGCATTTCTCAAATAATGTGCTGTTAAGTTTAATGTTGACCTCTGTGAATTTGCATTTCACCATCAAGATAAAAGTCCCCAAAAAACATTCACATCCAGACCAACTTTTATCTAGAAAGTGAAATGAAAATACGAGATTATCATCCATTTACTTCTCAACCCTATACAACGTACACATACAACGTGTGACTCAATAGGAAATAAACAATATATTTAAACAAGTCTTTTACACCGTGTTGCGCGGTGAGTCGGGGCGTTATTGTGATACTACACAGGTGTAATGTGCACAAACAGGGGAGGTCACATTCCATTCTCGCACACGGAAGCGCCTCGGGGTGCTCTGTACGATGAGACGCCATTCAGCCGCTGAAGCTCCGCGACCTAAACGCGTCTTTTTTTTATTTTTTAGTTTGCTGTGTTTTCTTGTGATCGGGGCTCCAGAGCCCGAACACCGACGGGTTGGAAATGTTTGGGAGTGTTTGTGAAATAGTGAAACCATGAGCGCTCCTCACAGCGATGTGGACGGTGTTTTTCTTACTGCACCTCGGAGCTGTGCGCTGTACAGGTATGACTGCATTTAAATAACGTTACAATGACTAAAGTAGTTTTTTTTATCCTTTATTCTCAATTCTTCTTTAAAATGTCGTAAAGCTACTTTTTAGGCTTTGAATGTGGCATCAAGTAAAATGTGAACATTTCATAAATCATTAACTGACCTGAAACTGACCGTGGAGCAGATAGGATTCATTAGGGCTCATTTCTTGTCCGAGTAGGTTTATGATTATCCAATTAACCCCAAAGTGGTCCATCATTACAACAAATATTAATAAAAAGCAAATGAATTCATGGTGTATTTTAAGCCCCCATAAATTTGGCATAATGACATGCATAATAAACATGATACAAAAGCCACTGTTACTATACATCCAATGGCTAAGGAATTGATAAACGTGCTCCTTTATATTTTATTGTGTTTTATTGGAAGCCAAACTGGTATGAATTGGTGAGTTCATATACATGTGTCTCCTATGATGGTTGATCTCTTCCTCCTCAGTCTCCTCCTCCCTCCCAAGCCCGATCAATGTGACCTTCTCTTCAGTCAACCTGTGGAATGAGCTGCAATGGTTCCCAGGAGGTGGCACTCCGGAGGACGCACGGTTTAAAGTGGAGTATGCCATGTAAGTAAAGCTGCAAGAGCTTAAATAAAACAAGTACAAAAAAATGATAAAATCACCTTATTTTACTGACTTGGCCCGATAGGAACAGATGTTCTATATAGATACTTTGACTCGTTTACCCGTTAACTTATTTTTGGACTTTCCCTGCTTAAAATACAGATACAGGAAAGCGTAAAAGAGCTAAAGACGAAAACAAGAGAAAATAACTAACTAGATGTAATGAATAACTGTAAGATGAAGCTTGAGGGGGAAACGCACACGGAAGGGAGCGGGTTTCTCCCTCCCTCCATTATATTGTCCCTCCATTATATTGTCCCGGCTATTGTCTGATTTCTGGGATTATTATTCCGTCTTTTCTCCTCTTCCCAGCTACGGGGACAGCGTCGTGACGCCCGGGGGGAGGAAGGTGAACTGGAAGGCGGTGCGGAGGTGCACGGGAATAACGCGCCACGGGTGCGACCTGAGCGACGAGACGCGGGACCTGGAGCACGAGTACCTCGCCCGGGTTCGCGCCACCACCCGGACGGGGTTCTCCGCGTGGGCCACGACGCGGCGGAGGTTCCACCCGAAGGCGGACAGTAAGTTCACGCCGGGGGGGGGGCGAGGGGCGGGAGGACGGGACATCTGCCCGTTAAACCGAGCGCTCTGCCCGTTGTGCTCAGCTGCTTTCGGCGCGCCGCTGGTGTCCGTGGAAGTGGGAGACGGCGGCGCGAGCGTCACTCTGAAGGGACCGATGAGGCATCAGCCCAGCAACCGCACCCCGGCGGTCTCCATGGCAACGCTGTACCCCCAGATGATGTACATGCTCTCCGTGGAAAACACCCGCCGCGGCACGACGGTGAGTCCAAAATAAATAAATAAATACCGACAACCCGTCCCGCCCCCCCCCCCCGGTGTTAAAATCGATTTTCGCAGATCCACGTCCCGATGAACTCCAATTCGTACACATATCGACTGATGGAGTACGACACCGAGTACTGCTTCTCTGCTACGACGAAGTTCCTGTCCATGCCCGTCCAGTGCCGGTCCTCGCCGCCGTACTGCATCACCACGCCTGCAGGTGCGTCACGGGCCGAACACACCGGCGGATTGTTGCGCTATAACTTAGTGTGCACGTGGTGTGTTTTCTCAACAACACACACCTGCATGCGTGTGAGACCTGTGTTTCTCATTTCCGGGTCCCCCGCGTCCACAGACCCTGTGATTGGCCAGCTGCTGAGGGTGGTTGTGGGTATTGTGGTCCCATCCGTGTGCATGTGCACGTTGGCGGTGGTTGGCTACCTTCTGCACAACTACCTGACGGGGAAAGGACAGAAGAGCCCGTACATACTGGTAATGCAAACACGCACCTTTTCAATCAGGGGCACTCAATGTAGTTGAAGGGATTTCTTTGTATTTTAGATTTGAAATGTAATGTTTTTTTCTCTCTGTAAAACTAATTATGTCACGACAACCATTATTCATTATTCAATATGCAGCTTTTAGCAGAACGAGGTGTGTTATTGAGCCGCAGTCCTTTTATGCCTAGAGGGCAAACTCACTGATAAGAGAGGCGAATGAGGAAGTGCCTCAACACTTTATTATTTCTAATAGCCGTCAAAGGACAACGCCTCTGTTGGCAAAAAAAGAACCGATTGTATAGTCAATGAGAACATTACCTTCTCCCGTTGGTTTATGTTCACCTGAACTCCTTCAATCAGCTCACTCAAATGCAAAGGATTTGATTTAAATCCCTCTTGTAACTCCATCATAATTTGGAAATACTTGTAGTACAAAAGCTAAATACACATTCATTTCAGTTTTAATGGAACTGTAATGTAATGAAAACTTGTGTTTAAGGGTTAAAAGGCTCAAATCTGACAAAAGAGGACCAGTTTACTTGTGTTATAGGAGTTGGACCCATGCTAGAGATTATAAAGGGATATAAAGGGATTTTAAAGCCCTCTGAGGCAAATTTGTAATTTGCGATTATGGGCTATACAAAATAAAATGAATTGAATTGAATTGAATTAAAGTCTCGATGTCGCTGCTGATCGTTTTCACCTCGAGCACTGACTTAATTTGTGCGCGTGCGGTGATTCCCCCACAATACCTCTTTCAATGCCACACACCTTCCCTTTCACCCCCCCAGAACCCGCCGGCTTTTCATCCGCCCGTTCTGCTGTTTCACCCGGAGAGTCCCAACCTCATGGTCATCCCCATCATCCCACCGGAAAGCGCCGCATCAGACGCCGAGTGCTCCAAGCGGCCGCAACACGCCCGGCATCGCCCGCCGGGATACGCCTCGCAGGGGGGCGAAATACTGCCACAGCCTGAGGGCGACCCGTCAGTGGAGTACGGGTGTGTTGTCGTCGCCCCCGAGGTGCCCGTCGGAGGAGAACATGGGCATAACTTGAATGGCGAATACCGGAAACGTGCGGCCGGAGACGGGTACGAGAGACAAGAGTGGAGCGTCGAGGAGGACCACTCCGCTGGACGACACGAGGAGGTGCCCCTTCTTTCTACCGGTTCCACCCACACGCCTTCCTCCGTCTCCGACCAGTCCGATCTCATACCGGTTGACTACGGTGTTCTGAGACCGGCGCCGGAACATATTGATGAGGAGGAGGAGGAGGAGGAGGAGCAGGAACGTATTTGCATCAATTGGAATCCAGAGACCGGGAGGCTGGTGCTGCCACAGATGGATGGGTTGATGCGGGAGGAGGAGGAGGAGGAGGAGGAGGTGGTTGAGTTGAGGTTGGAGAATGTGTTCGTAAGACAAGGCTCGGAGGAAAAGGCGGAGGCACGGAGAGAGATGGAGGGAGGGGGCGGGACAGGAAGCGAGGTGGAGGACTTTTCGACCAGATGGAATTTGGTAGTCTCGATGGACGAGTAGATGATATTCATCAATAGGTTTACACTATTAATACCCCAAAAAGCTCCTCTTCGGCACTTATATTGTACATTTAAAATGTTTATTTTTAGTTGTGAATACTTGGTAGGGTGACCTGTATATCTGTGAATGTTTACGCTTTATTATGTGGGATTAACCAATCACACCGATCAATGTCACACTGTGACCAACTCTGAAGGAAATCGTCTACATGTAGAGCAAAATGTAGTTAATCAATCAATAATTTTCTTTGAGGTATCCCACATCCTGATATTGATGTCTAGACAGATTTTAAAAAATCTTTGATTTTTGTGGTAGTACAAAAAAATGCGACAAAATAAATACTTCTGCGAGCTTTAAGCTCTGACCAGAATTTACTGCAGGTACTCTGTGACTATACACATATCTGTGTACAAGTGGTAGTAGTTGAGGGTACTTTCAGGTTTCTGGTCTGTTACCGTTTAATATGGAGCATAATCAGCATTCCTTTAGATATAAATCCATCACATCTGAATATGTTAAATGAAGGAAAGATTGACGTTTTGATGAAAGAGGCTGTGTTCATAAAAGTACAGCACTTATTTTTATTTAGAAGAAATCTACGTAATTTATGTTTTGTAATAATGGAGGAAAGCACTACACTCTCTTTGTATGTTGCTGTATGTTGCATAACTGAATTATTCATACTGAATTAATTGACAATAAAGTGAACTTGCAAACTATTCTGTTCTGCTTTGTTTTTAACTTGAAGCGAATAACTTTCTTGCAAGAGATTTATCAGCTTTTGAATCTTCTCAGGATGAATGTGCTGTTTGAAGATGATCTCACACTGGAAGCGTCGTCACACTTTGATTTTCCTTCCTGTCAACGAGCGACACCTGCTGGTCAAACAGAAATCCGCACATTTCAAGTAATTACATCAAAAGGAATTTTTATTTATTACATTACATTAATTTGTATAATGTGTAATTATGATGCATCACCACACATTAAAATGCATATTTGGAGCTGTATTTGCTATCAAGTAGTGTATTATTATGTCTTTAGGTTAAAGTAATGCTAATGCGTCATATGATTCCTTGTTTGATGTCAAATATTTTACTCCTAAATGAAACTGTGTAAAGCGTCAGTAATTCAAAGCACCTGTAGGTGGCGCGCTGTCGTAAGACGGCATCTCCTCCCTCCTCCATCCCTGCGTCATGGCGTCATCCTTCCCCGCTTCAGCTACCACGGCTCCCCGCATCACCGGGGCGGGACCTCGGGGTGCCGGAGGAGGAGGAGGGAGGGGATCGGGGGGGGTTCGGGACTGCCAGCCGTCGGGCACTTCCGCCGGGGCTCCGGTTTCCTTTCTCCTCGCTATTTAAATTGCTGCTGCAGGACATCAGCTGCTCGCCCCATCCTGCGCACCGACCGACCACCGACCACCGACCACCGGGACGCGCTTTCTTCTGCGCACATCACACCAGCCGGGTGTGTGTGTGTGTGTGTGTGTGTGTGCGTGTTTCTGTGTTGAACAATAACCGGTCGCTTGCCGCTTTGACAGCAGCTCGGTGCGTTGTTTCCTTTGCATGTGGCGCACGAGCGGAGGCATTCAGGCGTTTGATTGGCTGCGATATTATTATTATTTTTGTTTTGTTTTGGAGCTGGATCCGAGAGGACCGATGGACTTGATGACGAGCGCGCGACCGGAGGGTCATCTTTGAATTCTGATAGAAATATCGATCCGTTTATTGTTGTTGTTGTTGTTGTCATTAACGGAGAATATCGCCGTAACAAGCCTCCATATGATCAACAGTCACCACCCATTCTAGTGAAGCACCACGGACGGACCGACTTCAACTGTTAGCAGATATTTAAGAAAAAGAAAAATCCCAAACATACTAATAGTTTAATACCGTTTTCTATTTCAAGCACGAATACGTCGGTATTCCTTTTCATAATTTGGAGGTAAATGAAGATCTCAAGTGCTTTGTGCTTTTTAATTGGGTGAGATCTTCGCTTGTGCCTCTTGGCTCGACCTTAAGAAAAGCATCTGAGCCCTGAAGCCGGTACAAAGAAGCTTTACTGCAAGCAGCCATGTTCAGCTGGCTGGGGACGGACGACAGGAGGAAGAAGGACCCGGAGGTCTTCCAGACCGTCAGCGAGGGACTCAAGAAGCTCTACAAAACCAAGCTGCTGCCGCTGGAGGAGGGCTACAAGTTCCACGAGTTCCACTCGCCGGCCCTGGAGGATGCGGACTTCGACAACAAGCCCATGGTCCTCCTGGTGGGACAGTACTCTACCGGCAAGACCAGCTTCATCCGGTGAGGCCGAACCGCTCACACGCACACACACACACACACACACACACAGATAGGGAGGCAGAGGTCGACACGCCCAAACTGACTTTTCCCTGAAGAAGTTTGCCAAGAAGATGAGTTAATGTGATAGAAACGCAGAGTCATCAAACGCTCACAGTCTCACCGCAGACTTTTTTTAATCCATTAAATGTTTACACGTGGGCCAATGTTGCACACGAGGATGCCAACGTAACTCACATGGAGGCCCAGCCTGAGCTGTGTGTGTGTCTGTTTATATACTCCGCTGTGTGTGTGTGTGTGTGTGTGGGGGGGGGGATTAGACTGACAGATGGACGGACACAAGTTTCACACCAGGGTTCATTCTGGGGACCTACTTTATAAAAACACCCGGTGGAGATTAGAATTAGCCGCGCAAACAGTGTTTGTCTTCTTTCTCTCAGATCTCCCGTAGTCGCCCTTGAGGCTCCGTAGTCGGAGTCGTGTGACCTGCAGTGTCCCGCGTAGGACACGCGTAGCCGCCGGGCGTTTGGGCCTCTTTCAACTGCAGGACTCTTGCTAACGACTCGGCCCTCTGACACACACACACACACACACACACACGCACACACACACACACACACGCGCAGAGCCGAGTGGGTCATTAGTGGGGTAAGCCTTTTAAAGCCAGGGAGAGGATGCTGTTAGTGGCTCCCCGCTGCAAGACAGGACGGAGCAGACGTCCCTGCAGTGCTGCCTCTTCTTGATCTCACTAAACCGATGACCCCCCCCCCCGCATGCCGCATGCCGTAGCTTACCAACAGCAAGATGCAGAATGCACAAAACTGCTGAGTAACGCTTCATTCCTCACAGCTCTGGGTCTGGCAGCAGTGCACCCACGCCCTTGGAGCAAAGACAAGTTGCATTAATTGTGTTCAGTTGCATCACATTAGGGGTTGATGGGATTTTAAAAAGTCGTCCAATGTGCACGGATCTCTGCCTGCAGCTTAAAGGAGGCGAGAGTGAATGAAGGGTGATATTATCTTCTATGGAGGTTAGTCAGAGGTCAGTAATCTGAGCCTGTCTTCATTCTACGGCTGAATATGATTTATTTTCATTTTCTCAGTCTTTAAAAAGGAAACTATCCCCCGAATCCTAATTTCTACCTATAAGGATTTTTTTTTAAGGTGCGTCACTGCTTCCAGCCTTTTAAGCTTGCGGTTGTGCCTTTTTGTGCCTGTGCGTTTTCAGTTCGGTCTCACCGATGTGGGAATGTGAGAGATTAGACGGTGTGATGTGTGAGCTGACCGGCAGGTTCCACCCACACAGTTTACAGTACGTTCCTTTATATTCAACATGCACATTGCACAACGTCCCCACACACCGCCACACGCACTACACACACACACGTGTGTGTGTGTGTGTGTGCAGGCGGATGGCTCTACCAGGCACGGCCGACTCCTCTATCAAGGTGTGTGTGTGTGTGTGTGTGTGTGGAGAAGATCCTTACATCTGGCAGCAGCTAAAACGCATACACGCCTCTCACTCACACTTTACATTTACGGCGCCTTCTTTAGCCGTAAAAACCTTTTTCCTAAACCTCGTCTTTGCGGCCCGAGTTCACGTGGTGAAGCGCATCAGAAACGCGCTGATCTACATAACGAACACCTACAACCACGTGAGATGCACGTCCGCTGAATCTGAATTCACGGCTGCGTCACCTTGTTCACCTCATTCAGTTGTCTTTCAGCATCAGAAGAAGCGCTTGGCAGCGGGAGAAATCAACCAAAGTCAACAGATTTGTCTTCTTAGTTCGGCCTGAACATCTTTTATTTTATCCTCCATGAAGAAACTCAAAACTAAATTCCCCCAAAACTAAATCTTTGTTCCAGCAGCTTCTAATTTAAGGCAGATCGCTTTTCTTCCAATTTTTCTTTTGAATTTCTTCTGACCCTCCAGCTCTAATCTAATCAGAGCCTGCAGATGTAGCACACATCTGCCCGCCTACAGTGGACTTCAATCAACGAGGCCACATAAGTGTAGAATCACACCCTGTCGAATCATTTGGAGAACACATATTCCATCTCTGTCAGCAATGAGTGATTCATTTACAGCAACGTGGTTTATTAAGTTTACATTGACAAGCTGCAGTGTCGTTCACTGGCTCGACCTCCGGAAGGATTGTTCACCAGGAAACATCTCGTCTCTCGTCTTTGTTTTGCTTGATGCTACGTCTTGCGCTGTCTCACCCACAGCTACCTGTTGGAGCAGGACTTTCCCGGCATGCGGATCGGCCCCGAACCCACCACGGATTCCTTCATCGCGGTGATGCACGGCGACACCGAAGGAGTCGTCCCCGGCAACGCTCTGGTGGTCGACCCCAAGAAGCCCTTCAGGAAGCTCAACGCGTTCGGAAACGCGTTCCTCAACCGGTAAACGCACGGGCGCACTCTGCAGACGCGCCAGAGGACCGAGGCTGTAGAAAGAGAGCAGAAGAAAGGCAGAGCACTGGTGAAAATCCACAGCGCAGCTCTACATTCCTGTGTGATTGAATTTCCCTCTGCTCACTGGTCAGGCCTTTCTTTTCTTTTTTAATGGGTCTCCTCGTGTGTGTGTGTGTGTGTCTCAAACACACACACACACACACACACACACACAGTCATAGTCATCTGTGCAGAGTCATCCTCCTGCAACAAGGAAAAGTGCCCTAAAGTGTTTACTCTGCTCGGGTGAAACTAGACAGGGGAAACGCTGACTGTCAGTGGGGATTATGGGGGTTCACAGCGAGGACGCCCGCTAACCCGGTAGTATTTATCCAGCTGGAGACACGGAGAGAAATCTGGCGCGGGACCGTGTTTGTTGTCAAAGCGATTTTACACTTCTGTCTGGGTTCTTTTAACTCTCCTCCTCTTCAGGTTTGTTTGCGCCCAGCTGCCCAACCCGGTGCTGGAAAGCATCAGCGTGATTGACACGCCGGGGATTCTGTCGGGAGAGAAACAGAGGATCAGTCGAGGTATTTCATCTGAACGCACATCTGTATACATCTCTTCCTCTGTTTATTCTAAGCGGCGTGAATGTGTGTCGTTGTCCGGATCGCCGGCGGTCCCTCTGCGCTCTAAACTACCACGTCAGCGTTTTCTTTGGATGCGAGTGCTTATTTTAGCTTTTCATTTCAAAGAACAGGAAGCAGCAACGCAAAGATGGGCAATGAATGTTTTCTCTCTCTCTCTCCTGCATTCACGCTGCACGCGTTTAAAACGTTAAATAGACATATAAACTTGTATAATCATCAACCGGCGCTGCACATTTGACTCATCTTAGCTATTTTTATGCACAATCAGAGGCCTTGATGTCGTTCTAGGGACTGTTAGATTTCCCTTGGTTCACATTCCCAAGTTTTACTGTGATGAGGATATAAAATAAGAAAAACAACACACAAAATGTCTAAATACAGGTCACAGGAGACCTGTAATAAGTGTAGGGAAAATAAAAAGGTTAATTAGATTATTCGCTGGTGCTTATGTCTTTTTGCGCAGATAAGCTAATGGGAATAAGCTCTAAAACTTAATTTGAGAACAGAATTGAAAGCCAAAATAATTAAATAGATTTAGATTCTATTCATCTCTATGATGCTTATTTAAACTTGATTAAACCAACTGTCTACAGATCCCAGCCGAGCAAAGAGGCCACAGTGTGAAGGGAGGTTTAGGTGTGAAAGGCCTACAGGAATCCCTCAGTGTGACACGCATGGGACGGCGTTCCCAGAGCCCGATGCTGCTATCGCCACGGCAACCGCTAAACATGCAACAAGAAGAAGACGGCCATGACTTTTAAGACTTTTCATTCACCGCTGAGTTCTCCCTCCACGACCGCGGCTTCTCTGTGCTCGCAGTCTGAAAGCTAAAGGCTATGAAAAGCATTTTTCACCATTTTGTTATTATGCAATGAAGATTTTTTTATTCTTTGGTGGTGAAGTTCAGCGCATGACTTCATAGCAGGGTTGGGTCGGGATTAACGTTTGTCACGAGACTCTGTGGAGAATCGACGCTCCGTCAGCACCAGTTGAGTTTCACATTTCATCCGCAACAAAAGCACAAGTTTCACCGAAGCGGGAAAACCTCATTTCGGTCCCGTGAGCGCGCTGTCAAATAAACCGCACAGCGAGGTGCGACCCTGCTGATGCCTGTTGGGTAATAAAAAAAATAAAAAAAGAACAGGGGTCAAACTTCTCGTCTGCTGAGTCAGCACAGCTGTGTTTTCCGTGGCGAAGGAGTGTGTCTGAGCGCGTACGGTGAAGCTTTTCTTCTTTTCATCCCGTGCTTTTAGTTTTTGTGCGTGTGATGTTTTCATCGTGCTAGCGTTACTTTTCCCCCACAGCGTTTTCATCAACGTCTCCATTGTCTGTATTTAGTGTTATTCGTGTGTGTGCAGATGTGGAGTCGGGCTATAGCTGCCTGCGTAGATGTCAGTATGGAGGTATAATGAACCTGAGCATCGACTGTACGAAAAGGCTAATTCAGGTGATATTTTGAAGACTTTATGGAGCGCTGCATGTTCCTCACCAGGCTCTTCTCACGTGGTTTGTCTATTTAAGTCCCCAGTCCCCCAAAAAATAAAAGAATTCATGTCACCATGTTCATTCATAATTTATCCCAATAAACAAAATACATTTATAACATACTCATAAAACTTGTAATTCAAAAAATCTGCATAAATGAATAAAAAACAGGCAACATAATTCGATGACATTCCTTCTCAACAATTATTTTTTGTTGGTTTCTTCAGTATTTTTCCCCTCAGCTTTGTTAATCCATTTCGCTGGAAAAGAAAATTCCCCACAATCAACTTATTGGAATCGCAGCATTCGAACACGTGAGAAGTGCTTCCTGTGAAGAATCATCCACTAAATTTCAAAATATCCAGGTATCTTTCTCTCTTAACGCCCCACAGTGTCCTCCGTCTCCTCTCAGCTGGACGGGACGAAAAAAAAAATATATATTTACCCACTTTGTGCTTAAGCTGCCAAACTTTTGTTCACACCCCAGTGAGGAATTATTCAACGCTCGAACTACATCGTTTGAAATGGTTTCTAGCAAAGGAGCCTTTTAGGCTTTGTGTTCGCGTTAATAAGAATAAATACATCTAAATAAACACACGTAGAAATGCTTTCCCGTGAATATTAACAGCAGCTTTGTCTGCGTGAGTCAGACTTACACGCAAAGCAACGCGCTTGTTGAAAAGGGTTTTTAAATCCAATTAACGTTCACTTTTTATCGCCTCCGAGCTCCTGATGCCTTGAATCTGCATCTCTTATGCGTATTTCAGTGCGGTTGGGAAACCTTCTCCCTCTAATCCTCCACGTCGCCCGCTTGTTCTTTGTTCTCTTCTCATATCCGCTGGACTTTCTCAGCTTCGTCCTTGGAGAGTCAGAGGAGGCAACGATGGATTGATTCAGTTGTTCCTGCAGGACGGAGGCACCGCTTCACTCATTCGCGCTTTCGGAGACTTCATCGCGATATCGTTTCACAACAACAACAAAAAAATCAAATCTGCGCCGAGTAAGACGACGGAACGCAGTTTTTCTTAGTGAAGCAGAACCGCCTGGCGTCTGTAAACACGCATTCTTTCCTCTCAGCATGTCGCAATCTGGGCGTCCTGCGCGTTGCCTCCTCTGTGACCTGAAGCCATTGTAATCGCTTCTACTTGGGAAAATTGCGACATCCCAGCTGCTGTTCATTGCTCGCGCTCATGTGCTCAACTCAGTGACCTTTACCCCCCCACCCTCCCTAAAAAGTATACACATTCCCTGTTCCTCGCCTCCTCTCAGGCTACGACTTCGCCGCCGTCCTGGAGTGGTTTGCCGAGAGGGTGGACAGGATCATCCTGCTGTTCGACGCCCACAAACTGGACATCTCCGACGAGTTCTCGGAGGTGATAAAAGCCCTGAAGAACCACGAGGACAAGATCAGGTACCCGAGTGCAGGTTCTGCTGTGACATCCGCACAAAAGCGGTTCTCCCCCCACACCGGCCTCACCGTGTCTTTCGGCAGGGTGGTGCTGAACAAGGCCGACCAGATAGAGACCCAGCAGTTGATGAGGGTGTACGGCGCCCTGATGTGGTCGCTGGGGAAAATAGTCAACACTCCGGAGGTACAGTGAGCAGGAGGAGCTCCCCACCGACTTGTCTGGCGTTAAAGATGCTAAACAGACGCTGCAAAGGAAGCAAAGTCTTTTCTTAATCACCTTTCGGCTCATCGGCAGGTGATCCGCGTCTACATCGGGTCCTTCTGGTCCCACCCGCTGCTGATTCCGGACAACAGGAAGCTGTTTGAAGCGGAGGAGCAGGATCTCTTCAAGGACATTCAGTCCCTGCCGAGAAACGCGGCGCTGCGAAAGCTCAACGACCTGATCAAGAGGGCGAGACTCGCCAAGGTGAGGCGCCGCTGGAGGAGGATTCCCCGGCCTGCCGTCTTATCTGACCAGTGTGTATTTTAGGCACAGCGTGTGTGTGTGTGTGTGTGTGTGTGTGTGTCCCATCACTCACTCGCTCCACTCGACCCGTCCAGTTTTTAGCCTTGACAGAAGAGGCGCGTCGCCGCTACGGAACCGATAGAGCCAGACGAGTCCAAGCGAATTGTTTCCTGTTTCCTCCCCGCGCAGGAAGTCGGGCGTGAGAGTGTCACGCAAAGGATGCACGCACACACACACACGCACACACACATACACACAGATTTTTCAAAGCTGAGCCCAGTTTTCCTGTTTGACAGCTGATAGCGTGTGCGTGTGTACGTGTTGTGATGTTGTTCAAGGACACGAGGAGGATTAAGTGAAACCGACACACGTGTCACCACGGCAACTCAGCAGAAATGTGCTTCCCCGTTGTATTTGCTCTCTGTGGGTCACAGTCTGTGGCTGAGTGTCCGCGGTCAAACTGAGCAAAGCATTCTTAAGTCATTTGTCCGATTGATTTATTGGCTGCAGGAAGAACCCTTTTTTTGGTCAATAAAACAGAACCGAGGGATTTATCCCTTTTTAATCGGCTACATTTACTTCCTAAATGAAGAAATTCTCCCTAATAGAATTCTAACTTTGAGATAGAACTTCAAACTTCAATTCGCCATTGAGTAAATGGGATTCCGCTCCCCCGGTGCAGGTCCATGCCTACATCATCAGCGCGCTGAAGAAGGAGATGCCCTCTGTGTTCGGGAAGGAGAACAAGAAGAAAGAACTCATCGGCAGTCTTGGAGATATTTACAAACGCATCGAGCGAGAGCATCAGATCTCACCGGGAGATTTTCCTAATCTGAAGAAGATGCAGGTGAGCGGGGGGGGGGGGGTCCGGAGACCAGAGAGGTCGGGAAGCTGAGAGCCAAACGCGTGACGCGGTGGTTTTTTCTTCTACCTTCTCTCCTTCAGGACCAGCTGAATTCTCAGGACCTCAACAAGTTCCAGCCTCTGAAGCCCAAGCTCCTGGAGGCGGTGGACGACATGCTGGCCCACGACATCGCCGGCCTGATGGTGCTGGTGCGCCAGGAGGAGAACCAGCGTCCCAACCCGGTGGTGAAGGGCGGCGCGTTCGACGGCACGCTGGACGGCCCGTTCGGCCACGGCTACGGCGAGGGGGCCGGCGAGGGCATCGACGAGGCGGAGTGGGTCGTCGCTCGAGACAAGCCGGCCTACGACGAGATCTTCTACACCTTGTCCCCCGTCAACGCCAAGGTGACCGGGGCCAACGCCAAGAGGGAGATGGTGAAGTCCAAGCTGCCCAACACGGTGCTGGGGAAGATCTGGAAGCTGGCCGACATCGACAAGGACGGCATGCTGGACGACGAGGAGTTCGCGTTGGCCAACCACCTGATAAAGGTCAAGCTGGAGGGACACGAGCTGCCGGCGGAGCTGCCGGCGCACCTGGTTCCTCCTTCCAAGAGGAAACTGGCAGAGTAAATGTCACATCGCGTCATCCCCCCCCCCCCCCAAAACCCGTGTGTAGACTTAGAAGTAGTGATATTCCTGTAGCATTATAGCAAAAAGCCCCCCGTCCCCCCCCCCCTTTCCGCTCTATCGCCGCCACGCTTCCCGAGCTTCACGGGGCGAAGGTGAAGTATTCCGCGCTCAGTTTTCGTTCGACTAGAAACAAAGAACGACGGTTATCTGCTCTCGGCGTGTGGGTTCCAACCTGCAGCGCTGAAATGTCTCTTTCCGGGGACGAAGACCGGCGTCCTCTTTGGGCGTTTCAGCGTGAGATGTTCGAGATGTTGGGACAACTGATGAGGTCACTCATAAAGGGAAAACACTGGAGTGCTGGGGGGATGTAACCTGGTCCGAACTACTGGAAGGAAAAGGGAGAGATAATGTGAGGAAGAGTATAAACATTATTATTATTGTCTTTAATCAGTAGAGTAAGTGTGTGTTTGACTGCATCACTAAAACGCGTCACAGCGTCTTAATATCCTTAACATGTGGAAACACTGTGACTACCACAAGGACTTTACCGAGGGACGCGTCCCCAGTACCGACGCCTGTGTGTGTGTGTGCGCGTGACCACGTGAAGCGGCGTTGCTATTGGCGACGCGTCTCGTCTCTTAAGCCTCTCACAGGCGTCGGAGCATTCGGTGAAAAACGGATGAATCAGCGATTCTTCACCTCGTGAAATGGATCCGACCTAAAAAGAGGTCGAGAGCACATCTGCTTCTTCTGTGGCAACAAATCAAATTTGCCTTTTACAGTTTGTCTTCTAAATTGCAGCCGTGTGATGAATGTAATTGGATTTACTATCTCGATATGCCAGTATGTGGATACATGTATGTATATATACATATATGTATATGATAACATAAAAAATTCTACGGCGTTTTGAGCCACAATACACGACTTGACGTGTGTGTGTGTGTGTGTGTGTGTGTGTGTGTGTGTGTGCGTGTGTGTGGGCGGTGTGCGTTCCATGATCCTGACTGATCCTCCCGTCGTCTCGAGTGAGAGGTTGTTTCCATCGCGGCATGAAGCCTCGCGTGCTGGTAAATACGCTGAGCGTTGCGTTCTCTCCTTTTCTTTTCTTTTTTACGGTGCTCGTGCGTATCTGTAATGCTTTTCTGTCGACACTAACAACAGTCCAAAAGTGTAATAAAACTGACTTTACTCTACTTTTCTCTGCCTTTGCTTTGTTTGTGTTCGGAGCAATCGGAGCGGCGAGTTGCACATTTTCAGCTAATAAGAAAGATGTAAATCGCTATAGAAGCTGTTGACAGTGAGGATACTCAGAGCAAAGAGAAACCAGCAATAAAAACTCCTTTGTTTTATCTCAAGGGATCCCACAAATGTAGCATGTGTTGCCTTCCAGCTAATAAGGTAAATGGGTGGAGATGCTGTTTGGCAGCGAGGAACAGAAGCGTGAGTTTCTTCATGTTAAACTTCAAGGGCTTCATGCTGATCTTCTCTTGGACTCGAGGATCTGATCTGCTCCAGAAAGTCAACAGGGGATATTTCTGCTTTTAACTGTTTTACGAGCGCTTTAAATATTCCTCTCTGAGTTTATGTGAGGCGCAGATTGTTGTTGCCAAGGGGCGCCGACGTTGACCATGACGAAAAATAACACCACATGTCATATTCAACATTACAGCATTGCGTGTGTGTCTGTGGGTGTGTGTGTGTGTGCGTGTGTGTGTGTGTGTGTGTGTGCGTGACAGGAAATCGCAGCATCCCCTCGTACTGTGAGACCCTCAAACTCGTGCAGACACACACGCAGGGAAGATGCGGCACTCCGTGTCACACAGGAAGTTCTGTTCTTGTTCGCCATTTCCTGTCTGTGCCACCTTGACCCTCACACACACACACACACACACACACACACAGTAAACCACGTCCTCTGGTACTGAAGGTAAAGTTTTTGTTGTACGCATATCAGTCTTCGATTTTGTGTTACTTTTCTTAAAGGCGCTCGTGTTGCTGAAGGCGACATAGTACATGTTTTATTGACACAAATAGTGAGTACGAGTTGTTACTTCAGGAAATGTCTCTGAATCCTCAAACCAAAAATAGAAAAAGTAAAAATAAATGTGTGCATTGGAATCCTGACAAGAAAACTATTTTAGAGGAGCATTTTATTTTTTTGCAGAAATGACACCCGAGCGGAAACAGACCAGAAAAGAATCCGCGGGGGAACCGGTTGGTATCTTATCTCTTCAGGAGGGAAGTTTATTTCCAACAGGTTGTTCAGCGATAAACACGTCCGACAACAGTGAAACATCAACGTCTGTGTGAGTCTGCGTGGTTTTCACGCACAAGGAAGCTATACATCATTCCACACACACACACACACACACACACACACACACACACACGTTACTGTCACACAGTGTGTATATATATATATAGAATATATAATGTAACACAGCACATAACATATAATGTGCTGTGAAAAATATGACCAAATAAATCGGACATACAAGAGCAAAGACATGATCCCTCACCTGTTTCCCATCATGCACCGGGGGAATGAACCTGGCTCAGACTACAGCAGAGTAACCTGACACATCCACATGTGACTCACAACTCATCGCCGCCTCGACAGGTGTGTGTGTGTGTGTGTGTGTGTGTGTGTGTGTGTGTGTGTGCGCGTGCGTGCAGCGACATGGTCACAGGTTCCACCGAGTGGTGACACCGTCCTGTTAATTGCATCCCCGTCTCCATGGTGACAGAAGGTGGGAGAACAGGGCACAACAACACAACAAAAGAGACATTATTCAACTCACAGCTATTTGTTGGCCACAGGCGACATTTCAACAAGAAATCCTTTTAATTTATCGCCCGGGTTCATGCAAACTCCTTCTAAAGTCTGTCAAATCATTGGGTGGATTTAAAAAGACAAGTACTTTGAAGGTGGGAGATATGATCTAATGACAGATTCACTATGAAAGTAGTTTGAGCGTGGAACACATCCGGGTAGAAACTATGACACATGCAGTTGGAGCTGGTGTTGGGTCAGCTGGCGCCGCCGCTGAGTGAAACATCTCGTGTGTAAATGTCTGCGTGTTAAAAGTAAGTTCTGGTGGCGTCCTTGAGCCGCATCCCGGCTAAAACAAAAGGCCACGAGTTCTACATCCTGTAGAAACTCAGACCCGCCCGTGAGTGCATTGACTCATTTGCATCCCTCCAGTTGCTCATTTTGCAGAGAATCTCTCACGAAACAAGACGTTTTACATTTTTGCAAAATATTTCACCATTTTACTATAATGACATCATTTCACTCATGGAAAAATAAAGAAGAGGAAATCAAGAAATAATTCCATATGTTGATGTATTCCTTCATCCCACGTCGCTGCATTCAGGAAAAGTCTTTTTGAAAGTCCACTTTCTGCAGTTGTGTGTTGTGTTCGCGTGTGCGTGTGCGCGGAAGCTTCCTCGGCTCTTCATCATTGTTATGCAAGAGTCGTCCCAGTGAGGAGTTCTCTGATAAGTTATCGTTCAGGAACATTGTGTTTTGGGGGTTTTCTTGGGCAGAGGCCAGGAAGTGAAGCATCCATCACTCTGAAGGAGCCACACTGGGTTCAGGGTGCTGAGTGCGTCTGACCAATCTGCATTCTGACCTCACGTGAGTGGAACACTTCCATAAATCATGTTCGGTGTTCACATTTTTAATGGACAGCATTTGGATAAAAAAAATATATATATTGACGCTTTCCAGACAACGAGCGCCATGGGAGGTGTAGCATCCGCGCTGTGGTATCAGGGTATCTTCAGCATTCTTCTCTCAATGGTTAGTCTTCCTCCTCCAACAGGATGTATTCTCAGAAGAAGAAAAAAAACACGGAGCTGAAATATAAAAACACAATAAATGAGACAAACAAAACATACATGCAAGCACATACAACTAAAATGTGATGAATCCAGACCCCAAAAAACGAAATAAGAGCGAAACATAAACATTTCGTAGATTTAGTGAAACTCTTGACGCGTCTCTGCCTCCCCCCAGTGGCCACGTACTGACCCTGCAGGAACACGGTGTTCAGGGTAGAAAGTAAATGTAAATATAATAGTAAGACAGATTTCCAAAATTCAAAAGATTATTTTTTGAATGCTCATATTAGGACACAATACAATACAAGCAATGTGTTTTAATATATGAGAGAAAAGTAGCTCATAGGTGTTAATTAAATGTAGTTAGTTAAGTATGTTAACAGCGCATCACGCTGGCATTACTTGCCCCACTAAACATTATAGTAATATCTCCCTCGGCCGGTTATTGTCGTTCTCTAATGAATAAGCAGACTTTGATCTCCTTTTCTGAGGTCACAAGGATCTGAAAAAGAAAGGCAAGAAGAGGAAGTTGAGATGAATTGATTTGCCTCGATGTGTTATGATGGCAAATAGCGCAAAACCACATGCGTTTTTTTCCTTTCCAACCTTTCTGAGAAAATCTAAGTAAGCTAATATGTTTTACCATTAAACCACTAATACCATTACCATTAAAATGGGAAAACTTGCTCTTTGAGGATATTTAGATTTAACAGGACGTTCATTTATCGGCTGTGTTTATTTATGTTAAATCTATTAATTTGCTATATGTTCTTTCCTAAATATTAGGTTGTTGTTGCATTCATGACGTTTGTCATGGAACACACACACACACACACACACACACACACACACGTACAGCACGATAAAAGTGAAGGTCTACGAGCGAAGTGGACAGAAAGAACAGGACGGGGGAGGACGTGAAGACAAGGGCCGTGGCGATGAAGAACCCCGGTGCTCTGATGACCTGCGCCTTGCTTTTCTCGTCTCTGGCCGCGGCGGCTCGTCGAGGTGAGCCGTCTGCGTGACACCTTTTGTTCCTGAAGAGGTCAAATCGATCCTCGGGTCAGCGTCATCGTTTGTTAATGTCGCTCTCCGGGACCAATTACTGAGGATTTAGTCTCATTACAAGTGAAAATAATCAATTAGATGGTTTCATAATTAGAGAAAAAAGTCTGGAAGTCGAGGAGGGAAAAGTATAAAAACTGAGCTACGATAAACGAATCGTAAAATGTTGCACTCGATTCATGTAAGTTTTTATATAAAGTTAAGAGCATCTCGAATATCGAATTGCTTTGTCTTCATCAAAAAGTAGATCGGAGTCCAACCACAGCTGGTTCATTCTCACCGGGGTCAGACGTTCAAAAGTTGACAGTAGACCAAGAAGAAGCCGACGTGAAGGTTTTGTTCCGTCTCATCTTCATCCTCTGCGTCCTCGTTTGTCTCCCAGGCAGCTTCGGCCCAGACGAGTGCTGCTTCGCCGCCTCCTCCACGCGGTTGCGTGAGAACAACGTGCTGAGCTACAAGTTCACTGATGGCCGCTGTTCAAGGGAAGGCGTCTTGTGAGTTTCACATCTCCTGTTATTGAACTTTCAAATCAATATGTTGGACTTTTTGTTCATGTACTGAGCGGACTGTTAAAATAGGAAGATTCTTCATACTAGACTCAAGCACCTTCCAAATAAAAAGGCGGTTCAGAAAGTATGAATGAATGAATGAATTCCTGCATCAAAAATCAATAAATGCATTAAATTGATTTAAATATACAGAAGCACTGTTTTTTTTTTGTAGCTGTCAATAAAAGTGGAGAACAAACGTGCAGGACGATTCGCGTATAGAGAAATGCTAATAAATGTCCAGCATCCGCTTGGAATTGATCATTTTTGTCTCTGTTTTAGCTTCACGGTGAAGAATGGAGCGAAATCTGCGCCGACCCGTCTGACCAGTGGGTCCAGTTCCTCATCAAGGCCAAAGAGGGGCTGCAGACTGACTAACCACAAGTAGATCTTTGACACCACAAAAAGGAACATCTGTTCAAAGTCGGTTTTAATGTGGTCACAAGTGACGTGTTGAAATACTAAATGCATCATTGAATATTTGTTTTGTGTTTTGTTCGGATGAAGTGTAGTGACACCCAGAGGTGCATCTGGTGGAGGAAGCCACAGGATGTTCAGACCTGCATCACGCGGGCCGTTAACCCCTCACATCCCCTGTGAGGCCGACAGACGCCCCGATCCTCCACAGTCCTCTCCCTCCACCAGACGCTTCGCGTTGGTGTCCAAACCTGCATGTTGGCTGCTTCTAAATGGCTAAAACCTCATTTTTTAATTAATTTTTTAAGCGGCGGCTGAGCCGTTGGAGGAGACGCTCCGCTGCAGAGATCTGCATGTCAGCGAGGGGGGAGATGATCAGGTGGGAGATGCGGCAGCTCGAGTGCTTCTCGTTGGTAATTTTAAAGGCCACTAAGAATCATGTTTCTCGATAAAAAATGACCAAAGGCCACCGGAGCTCACTGAAACGCTTCAGAGGGAGTGTGGTGAAGAATACATTCCATCATGTATGGCTACAACTCCTCCCCCAAGAGAGAGATATGAAATGAAAAATAGTGTCGCAGACTTTTTGTCCTGCGTCGGGAAACTATTACACAGGTTCAGAGAGGAAGTATTTATTTAAAAAAGGTGCAGAGCAACTGGCTGCATCTGTAAATATTCTTTGTATTCTGAAAGCACCACATCGAAATATTAAATTGCATAAAAAGGAAATTTCCACATGGACCTCGACACAGTTTTAAGAATATTATTTAACACTGGTACCTACTTACACTGGTGAATTTACCTTAACACTTTCCACCACAGACTGTTACTTCCTCTGCACAGATGTGCGTGCGTGTCAACAGAGGCCTGTTTGGTGTTTCTCATGACGACAAGAAGCCGGCGAGTCCGTGACCTCCTGCAACTCAAGGAGCTGCAGGAGAAAGCAGGGAGTGTGTGAACGGTACAGTCGTTGTGGTGATGATCCAGTCGGGGGCGACGGACACAATGGGACGTCAGCGGGAGAACACACGCACACAAACACACACACACACACACAAACACATTGGCCAACACGTGGACAATGTGTGTATAAATAATTGGTGTGTGCTGACAGCTTTTCCTGACAGATGGGATCAGCAAAATAAATCTTGAGAGAATAGGTTTGTGTGTGTGTGTGTGTGTGTGTGTGCGTGCGTGTTCATACGTGTGTTTTTCAACACCCGTTGCTCTCACGCACACGCCACACACACACATACAGTACACACAAACACACACACACACACTCTGCAGGATTTACTGCAGACAAACTAAACAAAATAAACAGTTATGTTTCAAATCACACCCGGTTGACTGACACGTACGCACACACACATACGCACACACACTCACACAATTAGCTCATTACAATGCTCATTGTTATAGATAGATAGATAGATACTTTATTGATCCCTCAAGAGGGAACGGGTGGATCCGACTGTACATACGACCATCGGAGGTGCATCCTTCAGTCACTGGTGATAATGTCGCTACACGCCGTGTAACTTTTCTCGTCACGTTGTCATGGTAATAGCATCCAGCACATGACAGCAGATGCCTTTGGCTGAACAATCCCAGGATGATTGAGTTCAGCGGTCCAGATTTCTCTGAGTCCTTCGCAGACAGACACATGATAGCCCTGCTTTGCATGACAAAAAGAAGTGAAGCCGCCTTCTATATCTGTTGTGTTGCAGAGATGATCAAAGGAAATTAAAAGTGGGAATAGAAGAAAAAAAATGAGAGAGAGAGGGGGAGAGGGGGAGGGAGAGACAGGGAGATACTGAGGCGACCAAATCCTTAAGATCAGATCTTCCGTATAATTAACCACACAGCTTCCTGGGTTGCTAGGAGACCAAATAGAGATGAGGGGAAAAGAAGAAAAAGAGACAGAGAGACGGAGAGAGAGGGAGAGAGGAAGAGAGAGAGGGAGAGAGGAAGAGAGAGAGGGAGAGAGAGGGAGAGAGAGAGAGAGAGAGAGAGAGAGAGAGAGAGAGAGAGGGAGAGAGAGGGAGAGAGCGCACAGCGTATGGACACACACACATGTACAGAGAGACAGGCTAACAACCATTTCAGGGCGCTATGATTTCAGTCACAGAAGAAGAACAGGGTTTACGGGACATGAATGCATGTCTGATATTTAGGGGATTTGCTGAAAAATATAACATATAACATTTTTTGAAAAAAAAGCTTAAAATAGGTAGATATATATATTTTTTTAAAGTCAAAATACATAGACTGAAAATTGTTTTGGAATAAAGGGAGAAGGTAAAAAACCTTTAAATAGCTATAAGAAGTCCAAAAATATTTGATTAAAAAATGTAATATAAAGTCAAAAAAGTCAACAATCAAAAAAATATGGGAAAGAAATATTAGGTAAAAAAAAGTTAAATTATGTTATATCAAAAAAAGTCATGGAAAAAAGTAAAATAATATTTGTCAAATATTTTGTAAAAACAGTTTTAAAATATTTGATTGAAAACTCAATGTTTAATATCAATAAACTTTAAAAACAAAATGTTAGGTCACAAATATTGTGAAAAACAAAGTCAAAACAATGATTTGAAAAAAATATATATACATATGGCCTTCATCTGGTCTCTTTTAACTTAATGCTTACTTCCTAGTTCTTTCAGGGTAGAGAAACAATTTTGGTTTGAAAACATTCACAATAATATTCGTTGTTATCACAAATAAATGTTTCCTTTCTCTGGGCCATTGTGTCTTTTGTTGCTTGCGTCAATCTGTTGTGTGTATTGTGCATAATAAATCCATTGATTTCCAGAAACAACCATCAATCAACTATCATTAAAGGACTTCATCACATACACTAATGAGAAGTGACGTTGGATGCGTTCATGCTGTCATCCCTCGTTCAATAACTCACTGAATGACGGCTTGCTGAAGGCGATCTCGCTGAACGGGGCGCTGTTCCTTTAAATGGAGGGAGAGGGAGACGAGGGAGGGAGAGAGAGAGGGAGAGAGAGAGAGAGATGACAGGAGAAAAGAGAGAGATGTAGTAGAAAAGGGGGGTCGCGTGTGCACCTTCTCTTTGTCTTGCAGAGGGTTGCGTGGGATTCGAACGAAAGGAAGAACAAAAGTGATTTCAGCTTCAAATCTGTCTGGGATTTTTTTCTCACGAGGAAGTCTTTTGTGATTTTTTAGTGATTTTCTGGAGAACATTTTGGACATGAAACCACAGGCAGATATCTCCACTGCTGATGCTCAATTGTAAGGAACTCAAAAGGATTCCAATGGGAAAAAGTCAACTGTCTTGAAGATTTTTTATTCTTGAAAAAGCCTTTGAATTACTTGTTATTGTCACGAGGGACTTCTAAGGCTGCGACAACCGGAAGGTTTTTCATGTTGACTCTTGGGCAATAATTGCAATCGTGGTTGTTCCATTGAAATATATAGATGCATTCAACCAACTCATCTCAGACTTCATCTCAGACGCTACTTCTGTTTCATTTAATGAAGTGTGATGTATAAAAAGTGAGCCAACCGTTGAGGTGCAATGCAATGAGTCATTTCTCTAATTCTTATAATTATTCAACATTGAATATCGTCGGCTTCTGCTTCTTAGTCCAGCCGGAGAGCGACTGAGAGGAGAAAATATCATTCTAATCCTTCTATATAAACCTAAAGAAAAAGACCCCCCCGCGCCCATCACTACCTGTTGATTGACAGCTATTTAACCTCCAAACACAAACCAGAAGTGGGAGAAAATAAGACGTGAAGATGGCACTGAAAGACGGAGGAAAAGAGCAGTGGCGCGTTAAAACCGGGGACCATCTGGGGGCCAAAGCCGTAGCGGGGGCCCCTGCGGCAGGCGGAGGAGTGGTGGTGGAGGTCAGGGAGAAGAAGGGACCTCTGCGGGCCGCGATACCCACAATGCCCTTCCCTCTGGCCGTCATCTGTCTGTTCCTGAACACCTTCATACCTGGACTCGGTGAGTTCGCCTCTCCTCTCGTTTTCTGGAGTCGGCGTTTGTGTTTGTGAAAGTCGACGAATAAATTTAAACTAGAAGTCTCTCCATTGCGCCACTATTCCACCATATTCTCCATATAACAAATACGTTTGTATTTGTTACTAAAAGCTTTTCTGGATTCTTTGTGCCTTTTCCTGCAAACGAATCGTTACATACAGCTTTTCAAAATAAACCTCTGCCTCCACGCGACACTATTTCAACAAGTGCAATTTGTATTTAGATTTTTGGACCATTTTGTACTTCTTTACCAAAGTATTGCCTCGTTGACAGAATAAGTTGCCATAAGTCTCTGTGTGCCGTTCATTCAGTCCCGGCAACGTAAATTTAATTTAAAAACTTTCTGCAAATTCTCCCATCAATAAGGTCCGTCTCTTTCACTCTGGTTTCTCTGATGGGGGTGCGGATACTTTTCTTCTGTTAGGTTGCCTCCTTGCCGCTTAATCCTCCTCAATTTCTGTGTAAGGTAAGATTATTTAACAACATGTGTTGGCAAAGGACACACACACACAAAATGAAAACGAAAATAAGTGTACGAGAAAACACAAATCCGAAGTAATTAGAAGCAAAAATCAGATCGTGTGAGTCGAGGACAGAATCAATGGAGAGAGATTTCTCCATCGTGATCATCAAATATCCGAACATTTCTCTGACATATTGCTTTCAAAAATGACACCAACATTTGAAAAGCACCGAGGTGACACCTCATCTATGTGTGTGTGTGTGTGTGTGTGTGCAGCACGAGTGTGTACGTGGGTTGGACTGAATGCCTTGACATTTAAATTGAACGGCTGCGGGTTAGTTGCCATGACGACGCTGACTGAAGCGAACACAAAGCACCGAAAACGGTGTTTTCAACGCCGCTCGGCTCCGGCTGAATGAAGGCTGCTGCTTCTTCTCTTCGACCTCCTGCTGTAAGAATGAAAAAAACAACAACTATTTGACGAGTAACTGCAACTTAAAAAAAAGCTCAAAGTAAAAGCTCAACATTTACTTTCCTGGTGTTTGATTTAGAGGGTCGGTCACCACGGGAAGGAAACGCATTAACATCAACACCTTGAAAGTCCTTTGTTTGTTTCACCGCCGCATGCAGCTTTGTTGTAAAAGGATTGACGGGTTTAAAACGTAGAGAGAGAAACGTGTGTGTGTGTTATTTAAGACACTACATACTGTAATGCATACTAATGTTAAAGTCCGGGAACTTTCATTATCTGTTGATTTGGGCCGTTTTTGTTCCTTTAGAAAACCATTGAGCCAACTTTCCCCGGAGGTTCTGCGAGGTGCGAAGGCGGCTCTGGTTCTGCTGGGACACTTTACCTGATCGTGACGCGTCTTTTAAGCAGCGGCTCTTCGTTTGGGGGATTAGCCTTGTACATTGTGAATGCTGCCAGGAGTCATCGGTCTGTTTCTGGGGCCGTTTCAAAGGCTCGGCCTGTTTGCAGAGTCGGTTTTCATTCACGTTGACCCAAAAAGGAAAAGCTGCAGTATCACGTTTCGACGCTATCTCTCTAAAGTCGAGGTTCATGTGGCTCCACGCTGCTCAGTCTTCTCTCTTTCTCCTCGTTCCTTCCTGAAGACCTCCGGGTTTGTTTTAATCTCTCTCTACATGTCACGTTCTATCTCTGTGTCTTTTACACTCCATCATTAACCTCCCACACTACTAGTGGGGGCTTTGTTGAGTTCTCTGTGTAATTACAGTCATTAGTCTGGCTTATATCTATGCACACGCACACGCACACACACACACACACACACACACACACACACACACACACACACGCATGCAAAACACAAGGAGTCTAAGGGCTCTTCACACATGATGGATTATGAAGATTATGAAGATTTAATCAAGTATAAGTGCAGTGGAGGATTGTTGAGCACAGATACAGAAGCTCGCTTTTCTTTCAGTGGATATTCTCGCACGGCGAGCTGTTTGCGTGCAGTTTGAGAGGCGCTGCATGCGGCTCTGCAGAGACGTCAGCTGTTGTGGTTTTTTTTAACCGCTTTGATCTTTCCCGTAGAAAACTCTTTCTTTCATTAACGGGACGTTTCCTTCAAATGACAGCTGCCGTGTTTGAATCCGTGAATAACGTTTGTTTGATTAGCTGAGATGAGATGAGAAGGTTTTGGACGCAGTAAGTGGAACAAAGCTTTGCTCTTCAAAGGCGCCGCTGATCAGACAGTTCGTAGGCTCATCGCAGTAATTCAACGGATCAAGTTCTCTAGTTTTGCTCCCATTAATAAAACGACGGTAGAAAGCCGTGCATTGTTAACTGTTAATTGTATCCCGCATGTGGATTCAACGCCCAGTGACTCTTGCACTGCAGAGACGGCGACCAGCTGGTGAACGCAGTAAAACATTTAGCACATAGAGAGACGCAAAGTTCCCTCAGGAGGCCGAAAGGGAGATTCCTCAAATGTTTACAATTGAAACTGTAACTTAACCCGTCCCTCGAGCCTCTGCAACCCGCAGACATTTATATATATATTAATGATAATAAGAGTCACCCCTGAGGTCACCATGGTCAGGTCATCTGCTGGTGGGCGCGGCCTCTGACCCCGAAGGCCGCCCTAGCCGCCTTCGAAAAAGAGCGTCGAGTTGTGATCGAATGGAAAAGTAAATAACTTCATCTCCCCTCTTCCACGTGAAAGCTTTTTTTGGTTTTTTTCCACGTTGTTTTTCTTTTTTCGCCGGGCGTCTCCCTGTTTCTGGGACCGAGCTTGGAGTTTGACCACTCCAAATAAGGCAGCGAAGGGCATGTGAAAGTAAATATTATGGCGTGCAGTCGGAATGGACAGAGATTATGGGACAAGTTGGGACGTCTGTGTCCCTGTAGAAAGATTCGTCCCGACAGAGCCCTCAGTTTAGTCATCGCAGAGAGATATGGAGAGAAAAACGGAGAAAGTCATAAAGAACTTCGGCCCCTCGTCGCTCTGGAGAAGCAAGACGTGGGTCTGCGTCGCATTCGCTGTTTGCTGCGGAGTAGCAAAGATTACGGGAAGTTAATGCTGATGTTCACTGTACAAAGGGTCAAATTCACGTGTCCTGTATTCCTCAGGTTGTCATGGAAACGCCCTGTTATGAAATAATGCGATTTGTCCCACACAGACACACACCGCGCGGCGCCCGTCAGGGTCTAACCCTGCAGATAACTAGATGAGGGGGTTTATTGGATTGGATTCGGGGCGGACGCGTGCGGCCCTGCGGGGATGACGCTGTTTCGAAACGGTGGGCGTGCGCCATCACGTGCGGTTCCTCGGTGCCCTTTTCCCAGGAATGGATCCGCCGCCGTCGAGGCCAGATACTCGCGACCTGGCGCCCACTTGACATTTACTCAGGCAGCGGGCGCCCGGAGCGAGACGTCAATGTGTTCAAGCATCTCCGACACGACAATCTGAACCAGTTCGTCTCAGCCGATCCGAGTTTTCATGGGGTTGATTTGTTTGCTTGTTGCTGTGTTATATATCCAAGGAGATGGATGAGCTCCACCTCACCACGCAGGCAGGAGCCCCTGATGCGTTTGGATCCTGCACAGAGAGATGAGATCTCTCAGCAGGACGGTTGATCCTGTTTTCTTTCCGTCCCACAGGTACCTTCATCTCGGCCTTCGCGGTGCTGTGCGGCGCTCGCAACGAGCTGATCTCCGAGCGAGGGGTTTGTTGCGTGTTCTGGCTCAACGTGGCGGCGGCCCTCATCCAGATCCTGACAGCCGTGGTCATGGTCGGATGGATCATGAGCATCTTCTGGGGAATGGACATGGTCATCCTGGCAAGTCAGTGACGGTCCATTGGTTCCATGAGTCGGTTGAACATCTTGATCTTAGTTCATGTTTTTTTCCAGCCGCATCAAATTCGCTCGACTCGTTTCTCCAAAGGGGACAAAGGTCCTTTTCGTTCTTCTCACGTCTCTGCGAACGCATTGGACGGGTTGAGATGAGAATAGTGCTGCACCCGTATGTTGCCAAAGAAATAAGAAAAACTATAGAATTGTGCCAGCAAATCGTAAATATTCTTCCTGGATTTTTCTCAGATGTAAAAAAAAAAGATAGAAAGAAAAATAGCGGTTGTGACAGAGATGGGAGGTATAATTTCACCGCCTTCTCTGTCAGCAAGTACTGAGTTCTCCTCCGGCATGTGTGTGTGTGTGTGTGTGTTCTCTCTTTGAATTACCACCATGCTCTCTCCTTTGTGTGTGCAAGATAATTGCTCCCCGCGTGTGCAACCCCAAAGCATGTTGGTATGTAGAAGCCTGCAGAAATCCATGTGTCCAGGTGTGTGTGCGCAGCAGTGGGTGCCCCCCACGGTGAGGGTTTCACCCCTCACCTGTTTTCCAGGCCTCCAGCCACACAATTTTCATTCAACTGTTGGCTGCTTGAAAAGCTCCTGTGTGCGTTACTTCTCCTCCTGCCCTCCGGTGGGACTGAGCTGCTGCACGTGATCAACGGACTCTTTCTTTCGTCTCCGATGTTCCACCGCGCTCCAATCTGCGTAGTGATCATGGTGTTATCTTCCTCACACTGATTGCTTCTTCCTTTGGGCGATCAGCGGGAGGAAGATCTGCCTCTTTTCCCCGTAATGATCGTTCGTATTTGTTCCCGGACTTTTTTCCCCCTTTGGTTCTCGTCTCCATGTTTCTGCTCATCGATCCGACCAACCAGGCTCACGTTGCTGCGTGTGCATACATTTTATCCCGTAATGTATCTGAGGTCGGCTCATGTCGAACGATTTATTTATTTTTTGTTCCCGGTTACGGGAACTATGTGGGAATTTAGTTTTTTTGGCTTTGACTCAGTCGATGTGTGCGTGATGATACTTGAAAAGCATGAAGCTCACAGTTTGTGTCACTAACGGTCTCTTCTTCTCTCCCCTGCGTCGCTGAAGTTTCTGATGGTAAGTGTTTCTCTTTCCTTCTTCTTCTTCTGTAAGAAACGTTACATCACATTAGAGCTCGCATCCGCCACGGTCTTCATCAGCAGTGATGATCCGATGACGAAGACCATGTAAGGGGGTTGAAAGCCTCACGGCAACTCAGCTAATTCCATCCGCCGATGAATGTGAGCGCATCGCAAGCAGAAAGAGTACTAGTTGTAATCGGGCGAAAGAACCGACAATTAAGAGACGGAAGCCTCATCAGAGGAGATGAAACTCAGGTAAATACATATCTAATAAAATATTATGAACAAAATAGGCCGTGGACACACACACACACACAACGATGTCCCTTTGCAATGACTGGTGTTGTGGGTGAACGGATGAAGTGTTTTGCACACTGAACATAACTGGTTGCAGGAAAATAATCCAGTCATTCGGGTTTTATTGAGAGCAGTTGGAAGCTTTCAGGAGGCAAACTGCTGACTGGTGTTATTAAAGGAGGCAGATAAGATGCAGAGTGCAGCCTCCACGGGGTTCGTTGTTTAAAGAGTGAGGGATTCCTCTGCGTGTTTACGTTCTCCCGTTGATCCTCACCAGATCACCGGCGTGATCTTCCATCTCATCAATAAGAGAAGTTTATCATCCCACACAGACGGGATCAAAGTCCATTTATCACCATAATATCAGACTGTTCTCTCCCACTGTGGGGAAACTGAGGGAGTTGCTTGTCAGCCAGTAGTAATGATGCTGCAGCCGAGGCCCCATCGCGCCGGTTCCTTCATTTATCTCAATTAAACGAAACAGAGAAAAGCAATTATTGTCAGATGCTCAAAACGAATACAGAGAAAATGACGTGGAAGCGCTTCAGGGACCCTCTCAGCTGGGGCCATGAAAGCCGCATTAAAGATTGTGCAATTATTTCTTACCTCTGCTTTCCTCCTCAGGCTGCAGAGACCAGAGTCTTCCTCAGGACGTCTGAGAGGCACAGGGACCCCCCTCCCCCCCCTTCATCTATGTGATGACCAGCAGCTTTCTGTCCATTCAAAATGAATCATCCACGTGGGGGGAAAAGAAAGGACTGAGAATACATTTACATTTGATTTAAAAGGATAAAAACGAGGAAAAGGAGAAAAAAATGTGGTTACAAGACAAAAAAATGTTGTTGTTTTTTGGTGAATTATAACTTTATGTGAGAAACACGCAACATGTTTCCTACATGACGGGGTGGAGGAGGTGAAGGACGAAGGAGTGTGGGAGAAAATGAAGGTGTTGATTTGCATTGTTTATTCAACAACATAAAGTCATATGTAACTTCACTCACTGAACCAGAAGTCGACCGCCCCGTGCACAAGTCACTCTACCAGAGCAGCTCTTTGGGACGCTGAGGACATCTTCTCCATCTCCAGCGCCGCACGAAATCATGCGCACTTCACACGAAATCCGCCGGAGACACGAGTCATCACGCCGATGACGTTCTCAGAATATTCAGCAGCGTGATCGGGATTTGCGATCTGACGGATCAGCCGACGCGGTTGTTTTGTAGCTGTGGTATTTTAGCGTTTTACTGTGACAGCAAACACATCTTTAACACGCCGCGTCTCAGCGCCGCTCACGAGGCGCGCGTCACCCTAAAATCACAGCGGCTGCGTGAGAAATGAATCGCGCCTTCTGGCGCGTCGGCGTCGGAGGGATATTACACGTTATTAGAACATGGAATCCAATAAACAATATGCCGCTCCGGGGAACCGCACTCAGTATGAACCTTTGATATTCCACTGGTTTTAAAGGTCAGAAATGAGCCATTTTCTCATCCAACCAGAACTACGTGAAAAAACGTCATGAACTGGTTCTACAAGAAGTGGAAAATTCCCATTAAGAGATTTGATTCATTAAAAGAAAGAACACAGGTTCTTCAGTCAATGTTGTGTGTGTAAATTGTGTATGTAAATGAAATGTATCATTATAATTATATCGATGTTTGGGTGTTTGGGTGATTTTCATATCATGAACTCGGTTCCGTCCATTGTGACTCCATCACAAACCTGCAACGCACAGAAGTCGCCTTGGAACTGATGATCCAAACGAAGCTTTTCCCCTGACGCCTCATCGGCGTTCGCCTGGATTGTTTCCCAGAAAGAAAAAAAAACGGAGAATCAGGAGAACAAGAGAATCGAACCACGATAACGGAAAGTGGATCGAAACCAGTGCGTCGAGTTCACAGGAAGCTCAGTTGCTGCTGAAAAGACTCCAACTGGAGCCGCTGATCGGAGCCCTTAAAACTCCAGTTGTGCCTCGATCAATTATTCAATGTTCCTACCCAACTTTCTCATCTTTTTTTCTGTACCGACTACGATGCCAATGCTGTTTTCCGGTGAACCTCTGTGGGTTTTAATAGTCTTCACCTTCTTTGCCAAATGCCTTTTTTAGGAGCGCTGCTGGATGACGACGTGTGTGTGTGTGTGTGTGTGTGTGTGTGTGTGTGTGTGACACAGATGGTGATGGCGATGTGTTGATGTTCTTTGCCTCACGCACCGGCGGCGCTTTGCCAGGCGTTTGTGTAGCCGGCGGTGCTGATTTGCTTCGTGTGGGTCCGGGTGCAGCTTGTAGAGCTTTATTGGACACTTGGGTGTAACGATGGTGACGTTGTGCCGGCTTCTAACATTGTGGCTTGAAACTGTGACTTTGGCTGAATCATTAATAAAAACGTATTTCTGAATACGGTTAATGCGTTTGAAACTAATCATGAGGACAACCTGTAACAGAATAAATACTGGTGATAAAGAGAACTTAAAATGACCAAAAACCAAAAACAATCCTCAATTTGTTCACTGCAAACGGATGAAATGTGTCACTTCCACCGCTGATCATTTCTTAATATTTGATGATTCCAGTCCAGCTGACCCCCGCGTTCTCATTTAAAACGAAACAAAGTAATCAGTTTCCATGGCAATTGTGAAAATGATCTTATTACCCATCTGCGCGGGGACGCCGGTGGCGAGGACACAAGGATGCAAGAGAAGTCAAAATCACTACTTATTTGCCACACTGTGGCTTTTTCAGCTTTGAATGGCTCAGACTCTCTGACGTCACGGGGGTCACGCCGCGGCCTCCGGGGGCCCCGTCTTACAAGATGCATTCTGGGTAAAAGGAGCAGATGGCCGGAGCTGATGAAACCGCGCGAGTCTCTTGGCAAAAGCAGACGCTTCCGAGAAAAAAAAATATATATATATACTTAATGAATCCTGCGATGAGCGTATTGTGCCTTAAGTGAACAGCTCCATCATCCTCTCACTGATTAGACACAGTAGCATCAATATAATATACAAGTGTACCAGCGCCTAATGACCGCTGCTGCTCTGTGCAACCCCCCCGTCCGCTTACAGGATATTGTTCAATAAAGCAGAAATTACACTGTGGTGTGATTGTCTGTCTGGCTTCAGGCTGCTCATGTTCGGCTCGTTTTATTGGGTGGATGTCGGGGCCAACGGAGCGTTTTTCTTTTAGTCGGCACGTGGAAGCACGACACCAAAACACAAAGTGCTCAGCGAGGGACGGCTCTCGCTCTCAGCGCCATGATTCATTTGCCGGGTTAATTAAGCGCGTGTCTTGTCATTTCCCGGCTCTCGGCCAATTCCCCCCGTTTTGTGGCCCCGACGTGGCTAAATAAGGAAGAGGATCTTTGTCCGCGCCTCTTCGTACCGTATTTAGTTGTTTTCATCTCTTCCAAACGAAACATTACAACCTTCTGCAGGGTATTAAATCTGAGCCGTGTTTACGTCTGTTATAACTCCGCTGACAAACCATTTCATGTTTCCTCGAAGGGCTGCAACGCCTCTTCATTGACGTGAGGTCTCAGCAGCGTGGACCCTTCGACGCGCGAAGCTGCGCCGGAGCTAAAAACAGCAGAAGTGAATCCTGAGAAAAGAATTCTGAGCCGTTGGGTTCGCCTTTTAGTAATCACCTAGAACCCACGCGCTGGATCTGCTTCGTACGGACAAAACATCACGAGGGACAAAGAATACAAATGTACAGCAGATTAGAAAAAAATAGATTTATTTTTTCTTTTCCCGCAGGCACAAACTTGGTGAAATCACTCTTAACGTTGGACATAAATCTTAATCTTAATGGTCACTTGGAAAACAGACTCGCTAAGCTAAGTCACAAACACAAATCTGAAAACACAGACAGTTAAACTCGGGTGTGAAGTCACGTTTTTATACAGATGAATTTATCCGCCTAAAATTAAATTCCCCTTCACCCAAAGGGCTTTGTCTTGCATCTACACATGATTGACATCCAATCTAAATCAAAACTTCCCCGCTACGTTGGTCCCGGCCAATAAGATGCCTCACACTGACCACATGACAGCGGGGCTACATTTACAGTTCAGTCCTATTTCACGTCTTTCCAACACAGCAAAGCAAAAACGCAAGAATCATCTCGGAAACATCGGCGAGGAGACCAGAGTCGCACCGGCTGACGTTTACAGATCAACTCCCGAACCGTCCGTCTCCCTCCTTCCACCCACCTCAAGTCCCTCCCTCTCCAACCGACCGAATAAGTGCTTAAGAGCTGCTGCCTCCGGGTAAGACGGCCGCCGCTCCTTCAAACCGCAACCTCGCCGCCGCCCCCCCCACGTGCTCCTCCCCTCCTGTCCACCGCGTTGCCCCGATCGGCTCAGGCCGACTGGCCGGGCGGCGTGCGGCCCTCCCAGTACCTCTGGTACGCCGCGTGGAACATGTCCTTGCACTGCAGCTGCGCGTTGAGCCGGGCGCAGATGAGGAACGAGCCGCCCATCTTGCGGTGGAGGGAGTACGTCTCCTCGGGGGGGGGGGTGAGCCGGTGCTTGAGCATCACGGGGATGAAGTTGTGGATCCTCTGCGTGGTGGACTGCGACCCGAACTCAAAGCCGTCCGTGGAGGCGAAGGCCTCGCCGAGGATCATCACCGCGTCCACGTGGGCGCTCATCATTGCCTGGACACAGGGGAGGTAAAGGGGGTCAAGGGTCAAGGGGGAGGAGAGGGGGGGGGGGGGCACGGGCTGCTTTTCTTGAGTTACTCACCTTGGACTCGTATCCCGTCAGGAACTTCATGTCGATGGATTTCTTCAGAACTCCCTCTCTGTCGCCCTCAGCGGCTGAACGGATTATCTACGGACAGGACGGCGACTGTTAGCGACGCCTCTCCTCGCCGTGCATCTCTGGACATGTTTTAACAGCTCACCTTGTTTCCACCAAAAGTAACTGTAATCATTACCGCTGGAAATGGAACCGACGGCGCTGACGGGCTTACCTCGATGTAGTCATCGGTGAAACTCAGATCAAATCCCCTCGTGGCTCCAAAGTCCAACAGCGCCACCTGGAGACACAATCCCACTCAACATCACATTCTCCGAGTGACGGGAACCCTCGGCCCGGCCGGCGCACTCACCCTGTGGGTCTGCGGGTCGTAGAAGAAGTTGGACCAGTTGGGGTCGGTCTGCATGAAGCGGAACTCAAACAGCTCCCGGAGGCACAGCAGCAAGATGTTGTGGCAGATCTGAGACGGGAAAGAAAAGCGGACGACGTTCACCGCGCTGAGGTAAACGGGGGCGGGGAGGATGAAACCAGCGTCCGACCCGTACCTCGTTCCTCAGCTCCTGCGTGAGGCCGGCGGCCTGGTCCAGGGGAAACCCGGGGACCAGCTCGGTGGTCAGGACGTGGCTGCCGGACAGCTCGTCGATCACCTCGGGCACGTAGAAGAACGGGTGGTCCTTCAGCAGCTCCCTGGGTCGCCACGGGAGACGAGAGACACAGATCCAGGTTAAGTGGCCGTGCAGTCCACAGATCGCAATATGCATTTAGTAAAGTAAGCTGGCCGTCGCTCCGCCGACCTTGAATTAAGGAGACGTGTGTGTCTGTGTGTGTGTGTGTGTGTAACACGAGTCTCCTGCTGTGCGCTCCGTGGGAGCGAGACGGCACATTGCAGCAACTGAGCTGCAGCCTTAAAGGAGCTTTTGAGGGTTTAGCAATATAGCGAATAACGAAAATAAGCTACAAAATGGCCTTTATCCACTGCGAGGCCGGAACTGTTGACATTCGGATTTTTCTGGCACATTTTCCTTTGAATCTGGCATTTTTCTACAAATATTATTATTCTCTCGTTGGACAAGTGTCCATCGCACGGAACCTACAAACGACTCACTTGAATTTCTTTGCACACTTTGCCTCTCGGATGTAATCGCACTCCAGTTCCAGCTCCCTTCTCATCACGTCTATCAGGTGCTCTGGAAACAGACCTGCAGCGGGACACAACACGCACACGCACACACACACACACACACACACACACACAGTGAGACACAGCATTACAGATGCAGAGTTGAAGAGTGCAGTCGGGTCGCCTGTGCATGCTTGTTTTGGAAGCTGTACCTTCGGGCAGGGCATTGCTGAGATTGAGCACGGTCATCAGGTTGTTGACGTCACTGTGGATGCTCTGAGCCACGCCGGGGTACTGGGAACACGGCAACCACAGAACGGCTCGGGCTTACTTTCACTTTGTCATTAAATGAGGTCATTAAATTAGTCATTAAATGAGGGAACACACCGACTCTGGCGTCTGATCCAACGGTCAGATTCCGTGTGAGATATGAAATCTCTCTGTGAAGTGAAGCGCGCGCACACACACACACACACACACACACACAGTCACAGCGTACCTGTATTTTCATGGCCACGTCCCTGCCGTCCTTCGTCCTCGCCAGGTGAACCTGGCCGATGGACGCCGCTGCAAACGGCCGGTCCTCGAACGAGTCCAGCTTGTCCCTCCAGTTGGGGCCGAGGTCGCTGTTCAGCGCTTTCTGCGCAAACACACACACACACACACACACACACACACACACACACGTTTAGAATTATGGTGCCGTTGCATCACTGGCTAAAGGGTGTTTTTACAGCGGCCCTCATAATAAAAATCACGTGAATAATGTTTTATCAGAAGCAGCCTTCAATGACGTTTGCAGCGGCTTTAAGAGAAATGATATAGTTTCTTATTACATCATCAGGTGAAATGTGTGACGGACGTTTCCAATTCAATCCAAATACAACTACAAATAAATGAAAGGCACAAATCTCATGACTCACCGTCATTTGCTTGATCGGCATGAAGTCAGCGCTCTGTCGGACGCGCTCAAAGACCTTGGCGAGTTGAGGGTTGATGAACGCGTCGTCTGAGACACAGAAACACAACTGAGTTCCGGCGCTTTTGACCTCTAAGGGTCGACGTCATTTCAAGCCGCTGGTAAAGGGTACGACGGTTGAGCAGACGTAAGGAGGCGGACGTGGGGACTGTGTTCGTTCAGCTGTGGAGATTTCACCTTTGAAGAACCACCTCGCGGGTGAAGCAGAGATGTGCTCGCTCAGCAAACAAACAACAACAACAACAACAACACACACGAGGTCAACCGGCTGTGCTGGGAGCTGCTTAGCAAACCCGGGACGTCCTGCGTCCTGTTCTCTCCTCCTACGGCCTTTTTAAATGCGTGCGTGTTCACCGACATGTTCTGAACTCCGCTGCCAAAAGACAAAAGGTCTCCGTCCGCATTTGGGCAGCGGCGGTAAACAAAGCCAGCGGCGTGTTGCCCAGTCCGGTCACCCGATCCCTGTGTACCAACGCCGGCTCTTCCGCCCTTGAACTCTTGCGGCTTCTCGCGGGCGCGAACAGCGGGTCACGCACCTTGAATGCTGAGCATCTGGCCCAGCTTCAGCGCGGCGCCCCGGACCTTACACAAGGTCCTGACGATGCGCTCGGCGTTGGCCTCGGACAGGAAGGGGCTGGAGTCCAGCACGCCCTTCTTGTCTTCTCCTGCGGGAAAAGACACCAGGCGGAGAGGATTTTTGGGGGCCACGTCTCTCGATCAACAGTTGTGTGTGTGTGTGTGTGTTTGTAGATGTGGGTCAGTGGGTCGGCAGGCGGCGTGTTTCAGGGCCCGTTCATGTGGGTGTGTCAGTGTTACCTGCTGTGCCGGTGTGTCTCATGGTCTTCTTAGCGACCTCGGCCAGTGCTCCAAACCCCAAACCCACAGCCAGACCTGGTGGAGACACACACCAAACAACACAACGGCGTAACACAACTCCATAGAGCGAGTTCAGCTGGGAAAACCTCCTTTTAGTGGCTCAAACTGTTTATTGGCAGTACGGCTTTTCACCATAAAAGTGTTATTCTCATCATAATAACATATGAAACAGAAGATCATCAGGGGAGATCGGTACTAAAGAACCTCGGCGGAGCTGCAAACAGCTGCAAACGCAGTTAAGCTCCTGAAATACGTAATCCTCTGAAGCGGTTATCTCGGCGGACGATGGAGGGGAAAAGCAAGCGAGTCGTGGTCGGACTGTTTCGGGAGCCGGCTCCTCCGACCCTTATGTAACTCGGCATTACGTGAGCGCTTAGTCGGCGGTCTCGCAGGCAACGGATCTCCGATTGCAGACGGCGGCGGTGGGAGGGGCGAGGACGCGGCGCCTTCGGTTACGGTTCTTCTCCAGAGAATTAAGAGTAAATAATGAATTAATTTTATATGGTAACACTTCAAAGCAATGAAAAATGTAATGAATGAAGAAGGTAAACTAAGAAACAGATAAAATCAGATAAAAGCTGTTATTCAGAACTCGTCAACAAAGAGTGAAGGACGGACAGGAGGTCAAAATCTCTAAATGTTACCAGTGTCAACACGCCCGGTTCCTCCATACTTTCCTTCATCTATCGATCTTATTTCAGGCACAGGAAACGGATTAAAAGTGGAACTTCTTTATTAGGGTATTGAAACCATTTAAATCTGCTCGTTGGTGCCAGTCGTTTGTGTTTGCCGTCACAGCTAATGGGCTTAGAGAACAGGCAACATGGTCAGACAAAAGATTAACCAACAACAATATGCAGCGCAAACGCACACAGATCTCACTGCAGCTGCTGCTGCGCTCGCTTTCATTTTTTACGTCGGCCATAACAAACGTCTATTAATAAGGCGGCATGGCCTTGACCCAAATACGGAGTGTTTGTTTAGAAGCGAGTGCAGTCTCGGGTTGCCTCTCGGTGGGACGTTTGTAACACTTATTGACAGTATTATGTGTGACGGTTTTAACAGAGGTTTGTGCTAGAGGTCATAGGGTCATCAAAGTCCAAAGGTGCAAACACGTTAAAACTTGCTTTGAAGTGCTGTGGCGACATTCCTGCAGGCTGGTTTTTTTTTTCTTTCTTTAAGCTTCACGCTGTCGGCATTTAAACGTGAATATCGGGTCTTTTCATTATTGACTCTGCAGACTTTGGAAGGACGGCTGCAGCTGACGCAGCACCGACCGGCCTGAACCCGCCCAGCGCACAGGAGGAGGGCGGTTCCGGGGCCTTTTTTAACAAATTCCTGTCACATTACGAGCAATAAACTAGCAATAACTCGCTTTTCTTGTAGGCAGCGTGAAGCCACAACATGTATTTCTTGTGTTCACAGATGTGCAAAAATACAGGAGGTTTGAGACGACGCAAGCTCCTTTGATTGACACTTTTTTTGCACCCTGCAAAATATCATTTAGGGATTCGTCCCATGAAGACTCTGTACAACAAATTATTTTACTGACTGCACCAACTCGCGTCCCTCCAGCTTCAGAGCAGCCAGCGAATCACTGACGCAGCGGCGCGACGAGGGGCTCAAAACGTACCTCCGAAGTTGGCCAGCCTGCCGAGCCGAGTCACCGGCACTTTCCTCTCTCTGGCTCGCTCGCTCAGCTGAAAGACAGAGACGGCTGAAGGACCTCGTTTCCCGCTCAGATCAACGTGCGTCTGGGATTGAGGGCGCGCGGCGCTAATCACCATCTGTTTGTGCGACTTGATCTCGGCCTTCTTGCCCTGGCGCGCTTTCTCCATGTCTTCGGCGGTGAGTCCCCCGACCGCGGAGGGGTCCTGGTGGTAGCTCCTCAGCTGCCCCCACAGATGCCGGCTGGGGCCGTGGCTGTAGAAGCGGCTGCCGCACACAGAGGAGCACAAGGCCGCTCGCCGTTATTCCCCCGAAGCACAAAATGAGTCCGGCCAGCGGGGCGGATACCCTACCTGGCGTCCTGGTGGTAGGACCTGGCGCGTCCGCTGAACTGCTTGCTGGGATCTTTGTACCCCTCAAACAGCGACGGTTTGGCGGCAAAGTCATGACTGCTCCCCGTTCCATCGCCTGCAAAGTCCGCGCCGTCCTCCCGGAACTCGGAGGCCGCGAACGCCGCGTCGTCCTGGGGGAAGTCGCCGTCGGACTCCGGCGAAGACGTCCGCTGCTGGCCGCTCAGCCCCTGGACGGACACGTGGACACTCTCATAGTTTTGCTCTCAACTTAAAAGCACAACACACGGCCAAGGCCGCGCACGCTGCGCGGGCGACTTCAACCGCGGGATTCACACGCGCTCCCACCTGCATCGTCGCCATGGCGGCAGAGAGGCCTTGCTCAGCGGCCGACTGCGCGCTTTGGACCGCAGCGCCAACTGCCGGGAGGCCTGAGCGACAATTAACGAGAAACACGCGGTAAAACGTTAACGGATCGTCGGTATTCACACAGCAAAACGTCACTGCACGTGAAGGGCTGCAAACCGAAACAAGGGAAACGTGCAAATTCATAGTTATTACGCCGGTAGGAAAAGGACTTTGCTCGATGACAGTCAAGTCGCCGACGAGTAGGACGTGCTCGGTGGCGACGGGCGGGTGGGCCTACCTGCTCCGCCGCGCAGGGCGCTGCCCTGAGTCTCCGCGACCGCCTGGCTCAGCTTGGCCAGGCCTCGCATCACCAGCATCATATCTCCTGCCATGATGGACTGCGGACGGGAGGAGAAAGACGGGGACGTTAGTTACGGTCACTCGGATCAAGACGGCGCCGACAAAGAGGGACAACGAGGCCCTGAAACCTGTCGTCAACATTCAGGGGGAAGGGGGGGGGCGCACGCAGCTGTCCCATCCTGAGGTGACCATGACTTTAATACTTTGGCCTATAAATAGTCACCACCTCTCACCCCCTCAAGTGAGCAGCACACACACAGTGTGCAGATATGTGGTTCCGTGCTGGGCGTGTCGCTGGAAGCAGGGTGGGAGGAGTCTGCGGGCCGCTGGCTGGACCAGCTATTCCTGTGCACGCTTTGTCCGACTGCCAACGCCCTTCACCGCTCGGTCTCCGCTTCCTTTCCAAATCCCCACTCCGCTGCCCCCCCCCAAAACACACAGCTGGAGCGTCTCAGAGTCCATTTAGGACGCAGGTAAAAGTAGCGTCCACTCGTCCCCCGTCGGCTCTTATCACAGAAATCACCCTGTATTCCTCTCATGCAACCTGCACTGTTCCCGAGCGCGTTTCAGAGTCACAGGGGGGGTTTTCGGAGGTGTGACGACATGCTTCGACACGGCTCAGCTGGGATTCGGGCCAGTGGAAAACAAGACGCTGCTGAAAGCTTCAAATGTGAGCGTGTGTGTGTGTGTGTGTGTGTGTCGCCACACACGTCCGCACACGGAGTCAGAAAGTGGGTCATCCGTCCTGCTTGAGAGCCGCACAGACTGACGACACCGATTCGTGTCTAATCGCCGTCTCATGTCCCTGTTATTGTTTGTCATTAACCGCGGGACGTTTCAGAAACTGGTTCTTCTGAACAAGACGGAGGATCCAGACCAACTTGAGAAAGTAGACGCCGCAGAATAAAAAGAGACAAAACAATACGTGTTTAGCAATGTTGAGTGTCAGTTGAAATCCTCATTTTAAGCGGAGTGAGCGGCCTGTAGGTATTTCTGAGGACTTTTATGTTAACGTTGGCCGCTCAGAGGAACGGCCAGGTGTATTCTGGGAGTCAGCATGCAGAGCAGAACCGTCTCGGCTGAGAGCTCCGTTGCGAAAACATCCTTCGGAGATGTGAACAGTCGGATAAATCCATCTGACCAAATGGGGAAGACGCCGCGGTTTGTTGCCAAATGACAATCGATTGAGCAACTTCCCAGTCGTCAACGTGTGCGTTTCCTCAGCGTTTGTTTACAGGCGGCTTCACTCTGCGAAAGCACCTTAGTGGAACCAGAGGAGAAGTGAAAAAAGGTTCTGGTGCCCAGTGGGCGAGAGGTCACGACGAGGTATTTGTGGGGACCGGCCTGTGATCACACACACACACACACACACACACACACACACACACACACACACACACACACACACACACACACAGAGCTTATCCCGAGTCATTATCCGGGGCCCCACTGCCCTCCACAAGCTGTGACTCACTCTTCTGAAGATAAACAGGCCTCGCCGCAGCACTGTGTCCGAAGACTGAGAACGCCTCGCGGCCCGCCGGCCGGCCCGGGCCCCCGGCGCCGCCCTTCACCCGCTGGTCCTGATCCAAATGTCAAGCTGCACCCCGGCGACGCGGAGGAGAGCCGATCGAATCGACTCGTCCGCGTTGTTCCTCGACCAGTGAATCAAACGACGACTATTTTTATAATGTTCTTTAGTCTACGACTTATTCATTGAAATGGAATGTTTGGAATATTATTCACTGACTCACTTGAGGGATCAGTAACAAACCAAGAAAAAACATGAAGTTCTAGCTATTGATTAAAGGAGTCTGAGCCGACGAAGACTCATAAACATAACTCATAAACATCGACCTTATTGATGACACACTCTCTCACACACACACACACACACACACACACACACACACACACACACACACACACCGTGTAAAACTTTACTACTTGTGTAAAGTTCATTAGTTCTCACAAGTTGTTTCTCCTTCAGTCGTGTAAAATGAAACGAACCAATTCACGAAGTGTGTCTCAACTCCACGTGCAGATAAATCCATCAAACTTCTTTGTGACGTTTTTTAATCCGTAATTAACGCGCGTCCTCGTGGGCACGCGCGTTAAACAGCTGCTCTGCGTGTTTTATGAACAAAAACCAAAGAGGTAAACACCGCGCATCAGGTAAAGTTTGCAGAAGTGACGTAGCGGCTACACGAGCACGGAGCTGTGGAATACAACCAAAACAACAACAACAACAATAATAATAATTAACCAAAGAGCCGTTCCTAAAGTGCATGTGTTTTGCTCACCGGTAGCTGCTCTCTCTCGTCTCTCAAAGGCTCCGCTGTGTAATCTGGACAAATGCAACGCAACAGCGCGGTGACGTTCACGCGGGGGGGGCGGGGCGGGGGGTCTTTCGTGCACGGGACACGCTGCAGGTTGCGTGGCGCCCTCTTCCTCTTCCTGCTGCTGCTGGCTGGTGGATTTCCCCCCCCCCCCCTCCACCAGAGAGGTCAAACCTTGTTTACCAACCTGCAACCAGAGCCGTGCATTGACGCGACCCGCGTGCACGTGGGCCGCGTGAGCGCGCTCGCTATGATTCTGACTAACGTGCACGCAACATTAGAATAGTACATAGATGTTTAGCATAAAGCTCAGCTGTTGTGGCTGTTTTGAATCTGTGTCACTGCGTCACTTCCGTCCCTTCACGTCCTGCGGGACCTCCGGGTCTCCTGCTAATGGAGCCTTAAAGTCAGTGGCGTTGTAGTTCATCTCCCAACGCAAAAACTTCATCCATGCGCGGCTCTGGTCTGCCCCGCCCCCTGCTCCTCCCCCTGCTCCTCCAGGGGGCGGGGCCCGAAGCGCGGCTTCTCATTGGTTCATAGGGCAGGAAAAACAAGGCGCATGTTTTCGCTGCGTCTCTATTTATTGTTGAGAAGTGATTCCGGGTTTCTGACTGAAGCGTTAAAATGGGCCTCTGCTGCCACCTGCTGCACAGGACATGACGTCTTATAATCATTATAAAGCATTATATATGTACATTATCAGTGCTGACTATAGACACGGGCACATTTATAGTATTTCCATAATGCCCTTCAGACATAACAATATTAATGCAAATCTGGGGTGTGACTTCTATCTTTTTAAAGACCAGCAGTGACGTGAAACTGGCAGCAGAGTGCGCCCCACATCCGCAGAGCGCGTCTTCTATTTTGGGTTTCTTAAAGGAGGTTATCGGTTTCCCCCCCCCCCAGACAAAATGAGCTCAATGGGCGTCCAAGGTGAGTATATTTCTGTCACACTGACTACATGTGAAACATGTCAAATGTGGCTCAATAACAATCTGCATTGCTCAATTCAGGCAATGAAGAGAGACTTTGTCTGGAGGAATTGGAGGCGGCTCTGATCTAATATGACAAAGAACGTTTTAAAAGGTTCAGTGTTTCAAAACAAACATTTGAGAAGAAAAAGAAGAAGTAATGAAATTCATACCATAGTCATTTTAGGGGGGACGGTGGTGTGAAAACGTATATTGGAAAGACAAAAAGAAAGTGGTCAGTGTTTAAAAACAAGTATTACGTGCAGGATGTTCAGTCGTAACAACCACATCTCTGTCTCCCTCATTCGCGTCCATCTCTGTCCCTGCAGCTCCGGATGCTGCCGCTGCTGTGGACAGCTGTGATTTGTAATGCAAAAGAGCCCAATGCAAACGCGCTGGTCGATGTGGACGTGATGGCAGCAGCGGCGGGTCGGGTCGCTGATTGGTCCCCTCGGGGGGACCGGAGGACGGAACTGGACGCCTGTGACCACAGAAGCTCACGGAAGTCTCAGTCGGAAGCAGTGTCCTTTTTCTTCACGCCGTGTACACACTTTTAAAATGGGACGAATAAATAAATACACAAGCTGGCAAAACCAGAACAATATATTCATACAAGCAAACAAACATAAGTGCACATTGGGGAGAATGAGCAAAGATAAGAGGTCTTAAATGAACAGATTTACAATTTTTTTCTGTTCGTAAAAAAGAAATCATCCATCAGCAGCCGGCTAGCTTAGCTTAGCATAAAGCTAGCGTATGTGCAAAGGTAACTGAATCTGCTTACCCCCTAAAGCTCTCAGCGCGTTCCCCCAAAATACGACACAACGAGGTATCAATCATCTTGTTTAATGCAGAAAAGCTAAAGCTACACATTTCCCAAAAATGTTGAACTACTTCTTTAAGAAGGCACTGCATGGATTTATGATCAGTCTCTTTCTATGTCTACTGTCACAGCAAACATCAAGTGAAAACCATTGCATGTTAAATATACGGTAGAGTGGATTCTACAAACTACTTAGTTTTTTTATTGTTCATCAAGAACCAAGAAACGTCATGAGACTCTTTTCCTCTCCTTTATCGGACCAACTACTTTCTAGAGGAATGTTCGCATTCCCCGTTAAAATAAATGGCGGCCCATTTCGGAACCGCCGTTACTCTTTTCAGGTGCCCGATGTTTAGTTTTGACTTTTACTCTGTAACACATGCTCGAAGACGAAAGCAACGTAACAGCCCAATGTCATAGTATCCCATTCACAAAACATGATATAATGTTATAAATAAAAACAAGATGAAATACAAATTAAGACCAAACTTTAAGAGGATAATAAACATGCACCCGGGAGTATGCGGTGAAAAAGACCAGGATAATAGTCCATCATAACATTTGCAATAAGAACATATTTTCAGTTGTCTGACTTGGCTTTGTGATGTCAAGGCCCCGTGTAGCTTAAATAAGATTGTTCATGGCTGTAAGTGTTCCACCGGACTCGAGTGCACTAAAATAATGTTACAAAAGAAACGAGGTCAAACATGAAAACGCTCATTGTACATTTATAACAATCCCAACAGCACAGTGTGTTCGCCCCGGCAGGTCGTACCGCGGACACACGGGCGACGCGTCACGAGATGCCGCCCGTGACAGAGTGAAACTCCCCCCGACCTGAATCGCTCGCTTCCACACAACTGCCGGCTCGCCGATGACGAAGCGCGGCTGCCACTGAAAAAACATCGCCGAGCGACAGGCTCCGGCCTCTCGCGCCGGCCCGGTTTTGCTTTCCACTGTAAAATAACTCACACTCAACCATAACAACTCTAACGGCGGAGAGAGAAATCAAGTGCAGATCGCTTTTCAAAGGCAATGTGCTGAAATCCTGTTTAAAAAAAGACAAACTATCCCACGGTAAGATATGCAGTCTAACTGTTCATCTATATCTAATTTACAAACGAGCAGAACTGTTTAACGGGACGTTTAAAGTGGAATACGGGAGTTTGAAGGTGCACTTTTTAACGCGTGTCCGATTCTCTGGTGATCACGGCGCCTTCGGGCACCGACGGCCCGCGGCGTGTTTCCACAAAGCGAGGCGTTGCTGAGCGCTTCATTTCTTTAAGGCGCGCCGGTTTAACTGGGAACTGGGAGCGTAGAAGCGTTCCACGCCATTGACACGTGTCTCATTGTGGTCGCTACCACACTACCAAGATTTTCCGGTCATTTTCAACGCCAATTCATTTTTAATATCAAAAAAATCCCAAAGCTAAAAATAATTTGCTCCTGCAACTGATCATGTGTCATTAAGCTCCGTCTTTGAGCAACAGGGAAGCAAACTTTTCATTGCAACCACTGTTGGTTTTGATATAAGAGGATTCTTAAACTTCTTTAATCCACTTCTGAAAATAGTCCCGAATAAAACACACAATTTCCTCCTTCTCGAGTGGTTTTTGCTAAAGACCAAAGCTGCTTTAGAAAAGGATTTAGTCGTATTTATGAAACCATATATTCATAATCCAACTTTAAAGAATTGAAATGTTCAGCAGGAACAAATATGCTTTTGGACTTTTGGGCGACACGCCGACTGGATAAATATTGAGGCGCACAAACCTCCTTTCTGCTCTTTTTTTAGAATTTGTAACAAAACCAAATAAATATCACCAGTCCACTTCAATTTGGATGAAGTCCAATCTGCTGTTCTCCTTCA